AACTCAGCAAATGGTCACTCCTGTGGCTCGCCGGCGGAGCAAGGTCTCAACCAATTGCGTACGGAGCGTCATCGCTAAATATTAGCCTCGATACACCCTATGCAAGCATGCACCGTGTTGCTGGACGGTGGCGCCACTGAGGTGCAATACTGGACCGACCAGAAACGCACATTCATCTCGATCACTTGTCTGTTATCGAGCGAACGTCAATAGCCATTTAGATGTTATGTCTTCGTCTGAAAGTCCACCTATATTTCATGCCCGTAGTATTATAGTAACCCAAGGGGAGGCCTTGACGAGCGCAAGAAGTACCTATTGCCAATTCCTCCAAGCCAACTTTTGTGCGTATGGAACTGAGCCACAGAATTACCTGTGCTATGCCGTACGGAGTTGAGAAGTTCACTACTCCTCTTTAATGTACCTTTGCCGTTGGGAAAGTTTGCTGATCCGCTAGTCCTGGTTAGCAAGTCTGTAGCACTGCACAGTACTACCAGCCAAGAAAGACGTTGATGTTTTGCTAGCCCTTCTGGCCCTTGTCCTGGATTCGAGTTTTGAAGTTCCTGGTCAACGGGGCCCGAGCTTAGTCTCTGGCTTAGCTCTAATGTCCATCCATCTCGGATGCAGGAAGAGATGAGCCGGACCTGAGGTCCTTGCAATTGTATTTCAGGGTCAAGCTTTTCTTACGGTTGTGCACTTATTTCTCTACATCTTGTCTCTTCGGCCGAGTTGTGCTTACCAACTTCAGATGCGCTTGAGCTTGGCCGCTGTCGGCTTGCTGCGCATCGCATACGCAATGCAACCTACTTCGCGCGTTGCAGTAAAAAGTGTAGCCTTAGCTCTAATCAGTTTGCGCAGCTCGTTTTGATGCTGTCCAAAAACTCTGGACTCTTGGCCTGTACAGATGCCGAAGCTTCCAATGTCACATCGGCTCCATTGAAGCTGTTCTGCCGCATCCTTTTGGAAATGCCGATGTAAATATCTGTTGAGACGTATCCTTAGCTTTTCGAGCCCAGGATATGCAGATCAACGTGGTATTTGATGGTGGCCAGGGCTGTTGGAATCTGGCCGAGTCTCGCCTCGTAAGCAACATCAGCATCCCCTTTGCCAGATGCGGGATAATTCAGACGCCACCATATGTTTCCAGGTACAACATTGTGCAAACGCCAGTATGATGTTAAGTGCGTCCACGGTAATAAATCAAGGAGATGCAATGTAGTCCTGAGCATCTCAAACACTCCCTCATTGGCCGCCTTCCGCGTTCGTAGGCACCAAGGCGTGCAAAAGCCACTGCATGAAACTGTTGCAAGGTTGGGCAGACCGAGCTAAGAGCAATATCCGAAAGGAGTCTGGACCAGTAAGACTCAAGGTACCTCATGTTCCAAGGATTTGAGGGAGTGGTTATGGTGGGCAATTGCTTGAGTGATCCCACCTGGTCGAAAGTCTATTTCCCCTCATGTTCTGGCCTAGACTGTGCCTTCTCCGCTTATCGAGTCTGGCCCTGGTCTAATTGTTCCGATGTCATATTGTGGCAGCAGCTGCACTGGGCTGAAGACTGTCGTGCGTATTTGGGGTGGGATAAAGTACTGCTTCGTTCTGGTCTGAACTAGCTGCCAGCAGGTCAAAGCGAGCCCGTCATATATTCAGCAGGAACCCCCATTTCCGAGTCGCCAACTGTGTCGAAACTTTACATTCTGCCTTGCCTCATAGCAATCGTGTCCAACAGCAACCCTGCTCCTCATCTTGGCTGTATCAGCGGCTACTTATACCAACTGCACTCCAATTGGCAAAGATCCCATTACCACCGTGCCAAGTCCAAGACACTCCCAAGCAATCCGTCATAAGTAACAGCTGTATTCTGTTCGATTGAGCAGACGAACGTTTCTTTCCATGGCTGCCTTCGTCCACTCTTATCCTCACACATTGGACATTCCATTTGGCAACCCAATGAATATCATGCCCACAACCCCATCATCCGGGTATACCATGGCATCCTCTTCTTATTTCAACAGAACACCATCACCAACGAGTCGAGGAAATATCGGATTTCAACCCTATCCCGGCCAGGCTCAGGGTCCTTCCTTCTTCGAGGAGGCCATAGGTGGCTCTCCCTTTCCGCAAGAAATACCTTTCGCCCTCATGCAACCTCCCCATTATAACTCCACGCCAAGTATGGTCAACGGCTTTCCACCCTCAGCTGCTATAGTGCCAAGCTGCGAGGCCGAACAAAAGTCCGCTTGCCAACTCCGGTCCCGAGACACGCATCAGCTGAGCATAAACACTTCCGACGAAGCAAACGGTCAAGCTATCATAGTAAGATCTCCCAAGCCGAAGAGACGCGGCCGTAAGCCCAAGGGAGCCTCCAAAGATTCAGTCAAATCTCGGCACGACATAGTGCTCGATGAAGACGACCTCCCCAGGGACCCCCGGCGTCGTCGCATTCTTGAGCGCAACAGAATAGCTGCTACCAAATGTCGCCTCCGAAAGCGGGATGAAGCATCTGCTCTTGCTTCTCAGGAACAGGCCATGGAAGACCAGAACAGATATCTCTCATCGTGTTTTGACTCCCTGACTGCTGAAATATATCATCTCAAAACTCAGTTGTTGCAGCATACAGATTGCAACTGCATTCTTATCCAGAAATATATCTCCAACGAAGCTAAGAAGACAGTCGATGGTCTACTCGCCTGTCCCTCCAACTTTCAACCTGACAACGACACAATGAGTCCATATCGTCGCGGCTCGTGTCATAGTGGCACGAGTCCCACAGAGTCGTTGGGTATGCCTACACCCGAGTTCGAGGGAGCTTCCCCAGTCTGGCCACAACCCTTCCACTCCGGACATGGATCTTCACCAGATGGGACAGAGGATATGTTGAATCCTTATCTCAAAACATCAGTCCAAATGCACAGCCAGTCGTTCGCCAGTATATCACCGCTGCAGCATCATGGGCCCGAGGTATTTGCCGGCATGGGCCACCAGCCCCAACAATTTGATGCAGTCAACGGGATCCCTTCCTGGGCGTTCTGATAACGATATTATGGCCTTTTGATTCCATTCATGGAACGGTATAGCGAGCCCAGCTAGCTTGAAAGAGTATAGTCTGAGACTTGAAGACGAAAAAAAAAGCTCTCCTGGATAAAGGAGCACGGATGAGGGACTTCTTTTGGGGTCAAACGAGGGCTGTGAGCGTTCTGTATATAGTGTGGTTTAGCCAGTGCCATACTTTCGTATCCAGAAATGTAAAAGTCTAGAGCAAATCGTTTAATAACAAGCGTACGACAATTCGTCTATCAACGTCCATGCTATAGTCGGTCGTGACTCGGTCCCCATACTAACGAGACGCTAAGTTGAACGTTTAGAAACTCATTACCTGTACAGGGCGAATAGAATATTTCTGTACGCTGATAGACACCGTGTTGATGTCGACTAGCCACGGGCACGTCAACAGTCGATATTACCCTTGGTACAATAGTTCGGATTATTTGGAATACGATTCCTGGCAGCATGTGAACAGGGCAAGACAGTATGAAATGTCTGGACGCAATGTGGATCTCTGCACCTGTCACCCAAGATCGCAGAGTGTGGGGTGATTCCAGATCTCATGCTGCCCCTGCAGCTAATCGGGTCTGCATGTCGATGGAACGTACGGATATCCAATATAACGAGAGCATAGGAGACCCACCAGAGCGACTGACCACTTCAATCACCATGATCAATCCAAGATATCCTTATGAACCAAGTCAATATTGGCGCAACTAGTTGACGGTACAGTTGTGCCCGCTGTTATCAGGCTGTATGGCTTGGAGTATCGAACGCGTTGTGAACCAAGTCCGATAAGTGGCTTGAAGCAGGACATCAGGGTGTATTGTTTTCATGTTCCGCCTATAGACACGTAGGGCAGATATGCCTATTCGAAAATTGCCAGTCATAAGCTTGAGTCGATGCTGCCGGCAGCAATGTTGCTGAGTTAATGTTGGCTATGTTTGTCCTGATCTGCCACGTCTCGCACAAAACAGGGTCTTGCCTCTGTTTGGTTTGTTTTATGACTCATGTGTTGTCTTTCAAGACACGTTGAATGGAACAGGGGACGCGTGAGTCGAAGGCTTTAAGACAGGGCTTGGTATTTTGAAGCGGTAAGAGGTGAAGAGGAGCTGTTGAATAAGAGACCGGGTGTCTCATTGGGGGCGGGTTGAGCCTCAACTGGGCTTCTCCCATTAGTTGGTTCCTCAGTAGTGACGGCATAATTGCCCTGTAACTTCTCTTCCGGTCATGATTTCAGGGGGTTTAGATTTACGAGGCGACCCAAGGAACTGGAAGCCAGCCATACACCAATCAGGTATTACAAGGCGCGTGAGCTGGCGAATATGACCAGATTTGAGTGGATACGATCAGTTTGGATGGCTTTGTAACGACTCAGACACCCTTGTCGCGTGTTATAGAAGTGTCCCCCTCAAGAAATTGAGGTAGTGAAGTCTGTTCCGGATGTAATTTATGCTGTGTAGTTCTTCTGCCATTAGCTCGTTATTCTTTCCGTTGCCTTCCCATCTACTTCCTTGTGCGCCCGTTGGACGTCAAGCGGAAAGCATCTGTGAATGGATTGGGTGAACCATTCGTAAAATCGTTCAAAGTAAAGAAAGGGAGGCAGGAGCCTATCAAACGAGTCGCTGTTGGCTTGGCCCGATCCATCACGAGCAAGGATTGAGGATGAGAATCTCACTGCACGCTATCCGAAGCAATTGATTAAAACTTGTTTAAAGTTCGAAAGACCTAAAAGGCAGATATTTTTATTGTTAACGATTACCTATAGTACCTTAGTAGGCAGATAGTAAGTACCTACTCGGTATCCCAGCTAAATTAGAAGTGCGTTGGGTGATTAAAGATCAACATCAGATGTACTGGCCCGCACCTTCCCGCATACCGTCCAACACACCGCAAGCAGCTGAGCAGGTACCTTAGCTGAGCTGAGTGAGCTGAGCTTCCTTCCCAAAAACACACGGGAGGAAATGCTTTGACCGAGGAAAGAGGCATCTCAGAAGCAAATCAGCGCAACGAACGCAAAAGTGCAGGCGAGACCCTGTTAGTCACGTTCCACCGCATTTTTGTGATCGTCAGGCCTGGGCCTTGTTGGACTGGACTTGGATTTTTCATCTTCGCTCAACTCACCTTCAGCGTCCGCTCCCGCCATCACCATCGCACATCGGGTTACGACCGGTGAGTGAGTACAGTTTTCGCTACCCAGATCGAGAGAAAACATCCCTTTTCTTTCTTTCCTTGACGTCTTGTTTCCTTTCAAGGTGGAGCACCGCTCTTTTTCGACTTTCGATTACTTTTGGTCCTCTTGCATTCCCTTATCACCATCGTTCAATTGGGATCGAATCCCCCATCATCTCACCCCTTGCAACATCAGCTGTGAAAATCACCCTCTCGCTCTCGCTCTCACATCGCCTTAGATGATCAATTCACATTCTCAAACCATGGCGGCAACCTCACCGGCAGAAAACGCCTTGGTGATTCTGTATTACTTGTACCCAGCTCTGGTTTTTACCTACTTTTTCTCCGCCTCCCTTGTCTCGGCTTGTACAGCCCACTCCTCTCAAAAGGATGAACACAAGAGAAAACGCCCAAACGGCACATTTATACTCACCCTCTACCTTCTGTGCATTCTAACATACGCCGCACAACTTTTGCTGCTTGGTATACAGGCTGCCCTTATTCGAGAATGGCCAACTGAAGATCACATCATCATTGGGCATTTGGCATGCATTCTGGCGTTCGGGATTCAACTCACCCGTTGCCTTGACGCTGAACATGGGCCCTTTTATCCTTTTATTGGTTCATGGGCGCTTGGTTTGTCTTTTGATGCTCTCATCGCGTCATTGTCTGCAGCAATGGGATTGCTCTCCCCGTTCAGCATCTCCAGTACTCTAAACATCGTTAGTATCATCGTTCGATGTTTTTCTTTCGTGTCTCTTGCAGGCCTGTTCACTCTTGGTACATCATCTCGGGCGGAATCAGACGAAGAACGGGAACCATTGTTACCCAAAGCTACAACCACCTCACCCAGTACTCCAACTAGTCAGGAGTCTGGGTATGGTTCAACGCTTCAGGCCGAGGAAGAAGAAGACGAGGCCCCGGAGTATAGCTGGGAACGCCGCGAGAGAGAGGCCAAAGAGGCTATGAAAAAGAGGCTTGAGGAAGGTGGCAACTGGTTTGAGTATGCGAAAGGCTTCAAGGTATGGAATTGATGCTTGCACGGTTTCCCATCCTATTCCTCCCTGACACAAGAACGATCATTTATTCCTTTGTAACTGATATAGGAACATGTTACTAACCTCTATAAAGATTCTCTTCCCATATGTGTGGCCTGTTGGCAACGTCGGCCTACAGCTTCGTGCAGCAACCGTGTGCCTGTGCCTATTCGCATCCAACGCTCTCCACCTTCTGATTCCCCGTCAGACCGGCATCATCATGGACAGTTTGAATGGTTCTGGTAGTCACAACCCTTGGATCGCAGTCATCATATTCGCTGCACTCCGTTTGGCTGCTTCTGAATCCGGTATCGAGCTTATTCGCCAGTGGCTATGGGTTCCTGTCAAGTACTACTCCCATGACGCACTGACACGAGCAGCCTACTCCCATATGATGCACCTCTCAGCAGATTTCCACGATTCGAAGAGTTCGTCGGACATGATGATGGCTATCTACGGAGGCAGTGCGGTGTCCAATGTCGTCGAGAATGTTTTGCTTTATGCTGTTCCTATGCTTATCGACATGGGTGTCGCCATTGTCTATCTCTCTATTACCTTTGGCCCATATGAAGGCCTTATTACAGTGGCCACCGGCGTCTTCTTTCTTCTCATCGCCAGTAGACTCGTGGCCAACTCCAAGGCGGCCAGCCGGAATCGGGTCAATGCACTATACGAGGAACACTATGTGCGCCAGTCCGGTTTTCTTGGGTGGCAGACTGTCAGTGCATTCAACCAGATTGGTTATGAAGATAACCGACATGCCAATGCAGTCACCAATCGTTGGCTTAGAGAACAGCAATACGTGTTGGGGTGGTATGTCTCTATTGGCTTTCAGACTCTGGTCCTCACATCTGGTCTTCTTGCTAGTGCATTCCTCGCTGTTTACCGTATCAAAGCCGGCCATGCAACTCCTGGACAATTCGCGATGCTCTTGATGTATTGGGCACAGTTGACGTCGCCGCTTCAATTTTTCGCAAAGCTGGGTAAAAATGTAAGTGACGACTTCATCGATGCTGAACGCCTACTGGACATCATGAGAACCCAGCCTTCGGTTGAGAACCAAAAAGGAGCCAGGCCGTTGAAATTCGTCGCTGGCGAGGTGGATTTTGAACAAGTTTCTTTCAGTTATGACAAAAAGAAGGGAATTATCAAAGATGTCAGCTTTCATGTCCCTGCCGGACAAACGGTTGCTTTCGTTGGGGCTACAGGAGCGGGAAAATCAACCCTCATCAAACTGCTGGATCGGTTTTACGACGTGGGCGAGGGCCGTATCTGTATCGATGGTCAGGATATCAGAGACGTTGAGCTGTTCAGGTAAGTCATGCTTATATCACACCAAAACACTAGTAGTTCTTGTTGACACTTCTCAGTCTTCGGGATCGCATTGGGGTCGTTCCTCAAAGCCCAATTCTGTTCGACGATACAATCATGAACAACGTACGATATGGGAGAATCACAGCAACCGATGAGGAAGTATACGATGCATGCAAAGCCGCATGTATCCATGATAAGATCAAAGGTTTCACCCACGGTAAGACCACATCCGAAAGTCATCTGCAATGATATCTAACTCTCGGTAGGGTACAAGACACGTGTTGGAGAGCGTGGCGTGTAAGTCAAGACTGATCTGAGTAGAGAATAGTACACTGACTTAATAGGAAATTATCTGGTGGCGAACTTCAGCGCATTGCCATAGCCAGGGCAATGCTCAAGAAGCCGGATATTGTTCTTCTCGACGAAGCTACCAGCGCGGTAGACACAGACACCGAGCAACAAATTCAGGTCTCTTTTAAAAGATTATGCGAGGGCCGGACTACTTTCATCGTTGCGTAAGCTGTTACCCTTCACTTCTGCTGAATACTATGCTGACACGTGCAGTCACCGTCTTTCTACAATTATGAACGCAGACCGAATTATTGTGGTGGAGAATGGCGAAATTCTCGAGCAAGGCAATCACGACGAACTTATCGTTGCTGGAGGAAGATATGCGGATCTTTGGTCCAAGCAAGTTTTTGTGCGATCCAAGGATGAAGACAAGAACACCTCATCTGATCAAGCAGGATTTGTTAATGACCTATCCTCGGAGCAGACCAAGGCTGAACTTTCGAAGGTTAAGAAGCCGGCAACAGCAGCTAGCGAACAAGGGAAATCGTCCAAGGCACAAGGCAGTGAGGAACAAGTCACCGATACCCCAACGCAAAAGCAAGAGGTAGTTTCAACCGAAGAGAACTAGTCTTTGGCGATTCTAACCACTTGTTTGCAGGGAAACCGATTGAATCCTGTCGCCGCTACGTTTACCCCCAGAACGCTGGCCAAGGCTAGGCAACTAACGGTGACTGAGACCTCCGAAGCATCGACCATATCTACTGCAGGAAATGAGCCGATGAACTTAAGTTCGCAAACTAGCCGACAATGGTCTGATGAGGTTGCCGAGCAGGAGGAAGAGGCCAAGAAGCAGTCGGTCATTACTAGCCGGCCCTAGGGGAGTCGAGCTTCTCAAGACAGCGATCACATGGCACCACGAGATACATGTTCCAACAAAAAGAAGAAGGCTTTTATTGCAGCGGTCGGTCGTGCTCTGAAGAATAAACGTGCAAGTCTTGTTGATGCTGGTGAAAACATGCAGTGTGAGTTTACGAGTTCGATATTTGGAGCTTTACTGATCTTTGAAGCCACTGCCACAGTTGCAAATGAATCCAACGCCACCAAAAAGCAGCAAGATGCTACAGAGGACCAACGCGTCGAATACAAGCTTCCGTATTATTCCCGACGCAACCAATCCAAGAGCGAGCCGTCGCAGGGGTCACACGGTTCGGACGAACCTGACACGGATGGTGCAGTCTTGACTTCTGCCATTGAGGGGCCAGTGTCTCCGGTAAGCTCGCTAACCACATATCAACCAGTACTGGCTCATTTATCTAATGTTAATAGATGCGTCGCCGTGTTACACTGCCTCCTATGAAGGTCGTTACTAGATCTCAGATTCCACTACCCACTGAGGTTAAGCAAGAGAAATTAATGACTGCACAGAAGCCGACTGATCACTGCAAGAACCTACCCCAAGGATCGTCTGCAAAAAGCTCGGATCGATCAACACAACATAACTTGCGAACCATCGAACCAAGCACATCGGCACAACTTGAGGTTTCGCAAGAGAAAGACGAATTGCCTGCACAAAGCACTATTGATAACAGCGTCAAATCCAACCACGCCGAGTTGCCAGAACAAGGCAAGGACACAATTACTTCCAGACCACGTCGGGGTGGACATAGAGGCCGAAGAGGGCGTGCCTCTTGGTCTCGTGGCCGACGTGGCCGAGGTAACTATCGGGGAGGCTCGCCAAACAGACAGGCGGCCTGAAGTGAGCTACTTTTACCCTCACACGCTACAAAACAATCGCGTAACATTGAATTCAGCCCATAGCACAAATGGCTGTGTAAGAATATTGCTCGAAGGAGACTAATGTATTAGTATTATGAGCCCACGATCATCCACTTACTGAGTGCAAAGACAATGACTTCCCGAAAAGTTGTATCATATAGAAAAATTACAAGCTGTGTAGTATTAGCCATAGACAAAAGCTCTTAGACTATCGACAAAGATCCCAAGAACTTTTACGAAACATGAACAGCCTGGAAAATAAAGTGCGATTATCACAGGTGAAATATAGACTCATGGTGACGACTGTTGCCACCATATGAAGGATGCTGGTACTTTGACCGTCTTGACATGGAAACAAGCAAATGATAGCGTATGCTACAATAATCTTCACCGATAGCGCTATTCGATGCCTTTAGATCCCGGGAGTATAGTAAGCAACATGCTGTGTTGTAGTACAATTTGATTTATATCTAACCTAGAAATGCATCGTTCATGTTTTCCCGAACAATGATTGCACACCATGCCCTTGCTTTCTCACCAAAGCTCGCAAACGGGACTCTTCTTTTGGCAACTGAAAGCCTTGTTAAACTCAGCCGAGTTCTTCAAAGGCAGTAAAGCTCTGGCAGCGCTGGGAGCGTGTACGTCCGTGGTAAGCAGCTGTAAAGAGTACTTAGGCTGAATCCTCGAACACCAGGTTTGACCCCATTTTAGAAAGAACAATTGTTCGTGCGAGAACTTCTCCAAACCTGGAAGGTTTTTGCTCATTCCTCTATCCTTGTCTTGCTTTTTCCAGGCCGCAAAACTCGACACTACACCGCCGGCATCGGCGATGTTTTCGGGAAGAGTCAGGCTTCCGTTGACGGGGAGAGCTGTACCATCGGTTGTCTTTATAGTGAAGTTGCTGTACTGCTTGACGAAGCACTTCGTTCGTCTCACAAAGGCTTCTTCCGACTTCTTGTCCCACCATGACGTTTTGTTTCCCGTCTTGTCGTACATGTACCCCTGACTATCGAAGCCGTGTGTGATCTCATGACCAACGATACTACCTGCACCTCCGTAGTTGATGTAGTCGGGGTACCCCGGGTCAAAAAGGGGAGCTTGGAGGTATCCTGCGAGCAGGCCGATCTCGTTCCGCGTCTGGGCGTAGTATGCGTTGGTCTTCAGAGTGCTCATGATGAGTTGGCCTCTACTGTATGGCTCCGCAAGGCTCTTCCACTGCTTCGCGATCCTGGACTTTGCAAATGCGAGGGCGTTCAGAACAAGAGATGGCTTGATTTGGATGTCGGAGTAGTATTTCTCGATAGCGATGGGATCCATAGGATTGGGGTCTGTAGGAAGTCCAATCATCTTTTGCATAGCCTCGATCTTCTCAAGGGCAGCTTTCTTGACATTGTCAGTTGCCCATTCACGCGTCTTGATTCGATCCGAGAAGGCCTCCTTGATATAGTCGACCATTTCCGAGGCTATCTTGATTTTTTCCGGGCCGAAGTTCTTGTCCACAAAAAAGCGAGTGAGGATCCAGGTGAGACCATGAGGACCTACCGCTACCTCAGCGATGGGAATGTTGACAATCCAGTCGACTCCCTGATCCAACAGTGTAACGCATTTATTCCAGCGAGGTCTGAGGCTTTCTGGATCCTTTCCTTCAAGTTTGTATTGAAAGTCGTTGTATTTGTTGGTCAAGTCATGCTCGATATAAGATGACACAGAAGATATCATCTTCCATACAAAGTACGCCTGGACTGTCTCAGTTGGGGTTTGAGAGATGATTTCAGACATGTTCTTGAAGTATGAGGGGTAACGAGTGCTGACTGTCCCTTTCCAGTTCTTGGGGGCAAGGTGCTTAATCACACCCTCATAGTCAAAGGTGGGAGCCAGCTTCTTTAAATTCCCTGCTGGAACGATATCAGAAACTTCGTTTTTCAGGCTCCATGCCCAAGCCAGTACGAGCTTCATTTGAAGTGAATAAAGAGATTCTGCAAGTTCGATTGCAGTTACGTTGCTCAGTTGAGAAGGGTACGTCGCACTGAGCAGGGCAGAGGTTATTTCCACCAACTCTGCCTCGTCTTCTTTTGTATCCGGCAATCGCAATCCCTGGAATAGAGGTGGGGATATTCCCAGAACAACCTCTTCCGGGTCGTACTCATTCTGTGAGATAAACATCTGTTGAAAAGTTCCAACCCCGAAGCTTTCGAAGGTCGCTAACGTTTCTGTAAAAGCAGAAGAATCCGTGGTCGTGTTGTACGCATCAGCAGGGTATAACTCTACGATCGTTTTGACGATTCCTGACAGGATATCGAGGCCTTCTTCCTCAAGAGCAGTGTAATTCTGACAGACCTGATAAGCTTCTTGGATCTTGGCAAGATTCCTTTTATCCGCCTTGGTCTGCTCCTTGGTCAAGTTGACAGTGATATAGCCAGCATCTTCACCTGTAGGATACGGGTCTTCAAGGATTTCTCTCGCGAGTATGTATGTTTGTTCTTGGGAAGCTGATATGCCGTAGATAGATTCTGCACCTTGAGGGATGTCGTGATATTCAGCCCAGTTGCCACAGGCATCTAGGGTCGTTAGGGCTAGGCTTATATGATGATTACGGCGACTTACACTGTTCAAAGTCTTCACATGGATCAATTCTGGTGTAGTTCAATGCCATGCTTTGCTTCATGTCTGCGGCGAGTTGAAGACATGCTGTGGATGTGCAGAGATTGCTGGCTGGATTGGGTGCCATGGTGACTAACAGACAGGCTCTTGACGTTCTCAGATGAATGGAAAATAGATAGCCTGTACAATATTGAAGACGATTGATGCAAAAATCGTGAGGTGCGATCTATATAAACAAAAGACCGGCTCCCTCCTCTTGTGTATCTCGTCTCTACCATACACCCAAAGTATCAAGGCGATGCTGTAAGCACTAAATCTTCCAGGCTGTTCTTAGGGTATAGATGCATGGCCCCCAAGAAAACCTATCGGCAGCCTATCTTATTCGCCCTTGCCATGAATCCTTGATCGCCTATCTTTAAAGTTAGCAGAAGTTCCGCTCGAGAAGGCAAGGCACCTAGGTATAAGATCAAATGCGACGTCAAATCTGACTGTGCATTATACCCGTCCCAAGCCTTTAGACCGCATGGGAAATTCTATACGGGGTGCACCAAGGTTGGAGGATCGTCGGTGTATGTCCAACGGAGTTTGTTGGCGTTTCTAAGCCATGGCTGAGCCTTGTTTGACAGCCACCAGTGTCAGCTTGTACATATTTCCCGATTGGTCGCCTTGGCTTACTTTAAAACGTGTTTGCGTACTCGAAAATAAGGTTGCCATAAATAGGTCATATCAGTAAGATCCTTGGCTGTTTTGTTCTTTAGCTTAAGAACGTACAGTGTTTATCACTTGACCTCTCAATTAGTCACGCGATCTCTCTCATACAGTATGTATTATACGTAACAGAACTTCGGTACAGCGAGTCAAAGGGGACATTGGATTCTGTGGCCTATAGGCTATTGCATGGACCCCCACCTCCATGGTGAAGATCAAAGGTCCTACGGGACTCGACGAGTGGCTGTGTATAAAGCAGATCTTGAGATGGATTCGTTTCAGTGTCTGATAGATGATTCCCCGTCATAATACCCAGATAAGGTATTCGCCCCATTGAGTGATCATCGAGTAAGCAGCTTTCTACAGCACGTCAGCAGTCCTTGATCTATCAAGGCCTTGAGGAGCGGTGAGATTGGAAAGCGTGCAGAGCGCTATTTGCCCCAGGACATATAGCAACATGTCACAGCCCTCTATAAATCTACCGAAATATATCATCTGATTTGGAGACATCATGCGCTTGAATTGACATTAACAACCGATCAAGCTGAATCTCAAAGCGGCACGCCATTGACGACAATGGCTGTTTCGCCTTAAAGATTTACCAGAGATACATGTAGATTTTTGGAATTCGTTCTTTTGTTTCATTTCGCTAATTACCGTATTGTTGTTCCGTGATATCCAATACCCAAATCTGCTATTCGCTTACATGCAAAACAAATACAAGTAAAAAACCCTGCGCCAGAATTTAGACCATGACTGGTTCGACAGACGGAACAGGCATATTCGACATGTTCATCGGTATCATGTAAGGACCCAATGCTGAGGATAAAATGCTGGCGATGTTGCGAGCCATGTCTGACTTCTTACCCAAGCACCAAAGTGCTTTCGTACAGTCCTCGCACCTGCGCACCACATGAATGACACTAGGCGTCTCTAGAGGCATGTGTTCGTGTCGAACCTTCTCTTCCGCCTCAGTAAGAAGTAGAATGGCGGCTTTGGTAAACGCCCTGATGAGGATCATAGTCCATGGTTCCGTCAAGATGGACCCCTCAACAACTGCGAAGTGAAGGTCTGAGATACCAGTTCCAGGTACATCACCGGCTCGAGGGCGTGTCGAGACACGAGCGAGGTCCGAGAGAATAGCTGCACTGTCTCGTCGGAGGCTGGCCACTACGTTGGCTGCTTGACGAACTTGGGTCGAATAATCCAACCCTAGTTTATTCTCGTCGACAAGCTCAATCAGATCTGCCATTAAAAGAGCAGCACAGTGGAAATGGGCCACCACACATACAAACCAGCTCTGGATGAGTGTTGGAACAGAGTCATATTGTTCGACCAGATCTCTGAAGAATGCGCCGTAGCTTACGTTCCAATGCTTATAAACAGCCATTGCGTTTGAGATGACCTTCTCGACTGGTTCACCACGGTATCGACTCCTGATCGTGTTTTGAAGATACGAGACATGTCGGAACAGGATAACCTTGATAGGTGCAGCAGTGACAACACCCTTGGAGGCGGCATCATACGAACAAGGCCAGCGGAGGACACCCTCTTTGTTTTCGCGACCGAAGAGTTCCGCCCACCACCGGGCGTCCTGTGGTCGATACTCGATGTTGTAAGATTCATGCTCTGGATGATCAGGGTACGTCGGGTCATGGTGGCACTCCTCATCCGAGACAACTACAGGCCGGCCGTTCATGGAGGACGAAACAGTGTCGAACATGACTGTCATCCAGTAAACCAGGCCAATGGTACCCTTGTCTTCTTCGCTCAGAGCATCCGCGGCAGTCGCCTTCTCCAATCCCAGGGAGCTTCCAGACACATCGAGAACTCCTGTCTCTCGTGCCTCATACTGGAATTTCAGAGCATGCATCTTTCTTGCAGCACGTTCCATGAAGACAGGTGGGCCTTCAGCAGCAATGATTTCGCTAAGCTGAGAAGCAATTGATCCTTCTCCTGAAGCAATAGGGCTTTCGCCATCAAAGTTGCTCGTGCTGTAAGGCCCATCGTTGTTGTCTTCATCGTCCCTTGGTTTCTGCGCCAATCCCATTATCAGATCCGCACAGACCACACGAAAGCACTCCATATCAGAACAGTCCTGTAGAGCTCTTTTGGCTTGAGCCCAAAACGTCTTTTGAAGCGTCCGGTCAAAATCCTCGTTGATGTCGTCGAATTCTGATCGCATACTATCCATTTGTGTCAGGCTCTGCGGGAACCTGTCTCGCTCACGCTGACTACCTTGAGCCCACTGCGTCGCAAAAGCCATAATGGCCAAATGCAACGCCTTTGAAGCAGCTCTGTCATCTGATTTACTTAATCGAATCAACTTCGTCGCTTGTGCCTGCTTGTCAAGCTGGATGACTCGTCGATATATCCTGTTGTCTTGTTGTTTCGGTTGGCCGACACTCAGTCCCTCAAAGTGAGATGCTAGCCAACTAACACCGTTGTTTGATGGTCGAGTGATGGTATTAGGTTTATAAGGGCATGTTTCTTCCGACAGCCAGCAAGACAGGGCATGCTCCAGAACGTCATGGTATATCCTCATCAAGTTGTCTGAAATCATGTTGTTGTTCGTCTTTGTCATCATATTGTGTGTTACTGAGAAGGGTGAGATGGAAGTGCTATAGCTCCTTGCCAAACTTTCCGGATAACGTCGTACACTTAAAGATCTGGTTGAGATGTCGCTTTCGTATGAATTGGAGGCTGAAGGAGAAGGCTGAAAGGGAACGTCGCTGCCAACAGACTGAGTCTGAAATAGAGGCCATCCGTTGTCGGCATTCTCGTCCTCTGTCGTTTGATGTCGCGAGTGTAAAGCTTGGCTGGTGAGCTCTGTGGAAGGCGTCAAATCCATGTGATGGGGGTGCCCCGATGTCGAATTAGGCTCAAAGCTCTGGAAAACACTGTTGTGAAGGCTAGCATCAAATGCGGTCGGGTCGAAGACGCCATTGACGGGCATGGTATCGAAGGTAGTATGAGGGAAAGCAGGAAAGTTGCCGAAGCCGGTTGTGTCCATTGGTCCCCAGCAACTCAAGTCATGCGTCGTCGGAGGCGCCTGTAGCATATCGAGCAAGGCAGTTGCGTTAACATCAAGCGACTGGGTCGGAAGAGGCGCCTGAACCGGCGCAGGTCCAGGTTGCTGTTGAGGGCGCGGCCGTTGACGCTTGGCCTTTGTGCGCGATTGATCGGGTACCCGGCGAGGGTTGGTAGTATTCTGAGAGGTAGCATCAGGGTTGGCAATGGTGTTGGCGGCGGCCGGGCCAGTCTGAAGTTGAGCGCGAACCCAATGGAATGTACATTGTTTGCGAGTGCGAAGGCAGTATGAACATCGTAAAGCTCTGGAATCAATTTCATCTGTGAGGTTCCACGGGTCCCCCGGTTAGCATCGTCAACGTTATGAAAAGACGATGAGGGGGAGGAGAAGGGGAAACAGGAGCCCGACAAAGGTACAACTTACCAAGATGCTCTTCAGCAAGAGAAGCTCCGCTAACGCTCTCGGTACCGTTGCGAAGCCTCTCCGAGTTACGCTGAATGTCCCATAACGACGGCGCATCGCATGCCCGTTTAGCTTTGCGACACTGGTCGCACGAACGGTTCTGGCGTCTCATTGTAAAGGCGAATCAAAATGCGATGAACGACAGCAGAAGCCAGGGTATGAGTGTATATCACGCTGCGTAGCGTCGCGTCGAGAGCAGACCGGCAACAATGACGCCCAGAATGAGGAAGAGGCGGAGCAAATGTAATACAAATGAAGGTTTTATTTATAAATATATGTTGACGAAGAGGTTATAGGTAAGATCGATATTGAGATGAGACTGAAAGAAACGAACGAAAACGAAGCTTGGGGAAGGGGCCCAAAAATGGATGAATGAATGAGATTGGATTTGCCGCACCTTCAAACTCAGCCCCGCGCTGGTGAAGCCCCTGGCCAGCCAATGGGGTAGGAATGAACAGGCAAAGAATGGAATTTTAGGACCCTTTACAACGGGCCAGATGCACCCTTGGGAGCCACTAAAGTGCTGACCCAGTAGCACATCGCACATCCTCCAGGGCCAACAGGCGCCATCGCCCAGCCCTGAAGCCCGCCCGGGCTGGGCTGCTCATGTTCTCCCATGCTCTCAGAGGGCCGTAGCGGGCAGGCTCCGCTTTTCCGAACGGAGTTTGACACTCCCCCGCACCGGGCTAAACTGTTCAGGTACTAGAAGGAGCCTATTGGGAGTGAATATTCATCTCATGAAAGGAACCTGACCTAGGTAATTAATACCTTGGTTAAGTCTGTAGGATCACCTTGCGAAAATAACACGGCACCTGCATCTGAAGAATATTTCCCAGGACCCAAGCTGCCAAGCATCGAGTCTTGGAAGTTCAAGGCTCCCTGGCGAAGATCTTTTGGGCACATTAAGTAAGGATGAATATGCAGCTTGTCTTGTCTTTTACTGCATGCTATACCCCAACAACTCTACAGCTGTAGATATATCTACAGCGGCTCGACTTTCTGGCCCAACCTCCTGTTCCGTACATGTCATGACTATGACCCGGAATCGTCGGAATAGGATCCGCCGTTTGCCTCTCTCAACACCCCGATTCCATAACTGCTGCACTCTTGCCAACTCCGCTTGAGGATCTTCCAACCCGTAAAGGCGGTTTATTCCTCATTAGGCTCTAGTTGATGGTCTTTGTCCTGGTGGCCAAGGCTCCTCGGCCCACTGGACTTAGCTAGACTCGATGAAAGGGGGGCAGCCCAGACCTGCTAACTATGAGTTATGCCAAGGACAACTGATAGCACCACCGAGTCAATCCAAGAAGAGAAATGTAGTTGAAGATTGATTAAGGGTAGGCTGGCTTCAAAATCTCATTATCTCAGCAGCGCCTATGCCGACAATAGCAGTTCGGTAGCTCCCTCCAGGCAGATGACATTATTCCCAACCCGGATATACCTTAAAATGAGGGATATTTTTTTTCTTCTTTCTTTACAAGGTTCTTCAACAGAAAAAACGAGAAAAAGAAACAACTCAAGGTTCCCTAGCACATCCCCTCCACAAGGGGATTTGCTGCACGTCGCGTGCACATCCATAACCAATCGCAAAACACCTCGACAACCCTGTCATGACCTGAACATTCGATAAGCCCTAATTCAACAGGGATAGCGTTTGCGAAATCGGCTATTGCAACCTACGTTTCCGGTCACCAACTTCTCGACACTATATGATGCCAGAGGCCGAGATGTTATTCTCGAGCTTCGACCCGACCCAACAGTCCGGTATTCGCTATCCACGATGGCTCGCTTATCTCACAACCCAGCTTCGTTGTCGATCTATGGTTTTCTGACCTGGCTGAAACCCGCGATCTGCTCAATTTTGTATCGTTTGTTGTTGAGTCTCAACCGTGAATTTCCGCAGAAGTGGTTGTTTTAGCGCGCTTGCTCCACCGACCTTGTCTTGCATATCTAGTGGGAGCCTCACCTATATGTGATGTGTTAGAATCCCACCAACACATTACGGATTGATGAATGGTAACTATATTTTTATCTGCAGGTAATTGGCCAAAGTGGACTGAGAGGTTTTATCCTGCGCATATCTTGACGGCTCCATGCACAACATCAACTGGACACGCGCCAACATAAAAGCCTTGATCGATATGCAATAAAGCAGGGCAGAGGAGGAGTACCTCTTCCTTAAACCGCCTTGTCGAGATCCAAGCTTTATGGCAAGCCTAGATAAGTTTTTCTAGGCTGAACCCTTCAATGGTACTGTATTAACGGTTTGACGTTTTCACCCACATACTTATCTAACTCAAGCCGAGTTAAGTCGATCACAAGGCTAGGGTCGCCTCATTAATATGAACATCGCCAATCATCCATAAACAGGCTACCAATCATGATTCTTGCCGAATTTGATGGCATTTCACGTTGAAAGCCATTGATTCACAAGCTGATAACCTCTTGTGAACCTCTTCACCCCCCAAGAAGCATGGAGCTGATAGCCTCGACCGACTTCGATATCTGAGACTGATTGCCAATACAACCAACGCACAATATAATCACTAAATGACAACGGAAATAGCTTGAAAGGCTTACTCTGGCTCTGAGCCAGCTTTTTAATAGCAATGCGCCGCGTAATCCAATGTTCATGAATCACAGCTAGCCGACAAGCCATATTGGACTCTTCTACAGTGGCTCCACACTCCACCGAGTTGCGGGGAATGAAAATCCGGGGTGCATATTTATTGCTAAGGAATTCCCATAGGGCATATTAGCCATGTTTGCAATGTGAGAGATGATGTATCATCGCGATATTAACGTCATTCGCGATATAATTAGAAACTGAAGTTCACTGGCATATCATCATCATCATCAACCTTCAATCTCTCATCGATAAGAAAACAGAATGGTCCTCGTAGATGGCGCGAAGACCGTTAGATCAAATTCCGCGTCCAGGGTCCAGGCTCGTCCAGCTACAATGTCACGCAGCTCAATTGGGGGGCATGGCGCTTATTTAGTTGTGTTCTAGACAAACCACGCCGCCTGGTTACGGGGTATTTGTATGTGATGCTTTTCTTCTAGACTGCCCTCCTTTCCCAAGGCTAGGGATTCATCGATCCTGTTCGGGCTATATCTGGTCCAATGGGACGCTTCAAGATTCTCTCTATTCATTCGGTGTGGTTTGCACCGGTGTGTAGTTGCTTCTGTAGTATTGCTGAGGCATACTGTGTGCATTGACGGTGACCGACGTTGATGTTGCCGTTTAGGGTTGCGAATCGTGATCGTGGTTGAGATGCGAAGGTGCTTCGATCGTGATGAAACTGAAGACATCAAGCAGCCTTGACATACTTCTACTTCTGTTAATAATCACGTCATCAACTCAGTTTGTGTTAAACGTGCAATTGCATCTCCAATGCTTCACGGTTCCTTATAGGTATAAGAATATTAGTTATCCAAGCCTACCTAGGTACCAAAAGCAAAAACGAATATACCGAAAACTCCTACAGGTAGAACAGACTGGCGCTAATTTTATCTATTGTTATATTATCGGTCATATTCTGATATCCTAGGGCGACTTTAGCCTTTTCGCCAAGTACATATCAGACCAGTCTTTAAGCATCATAACTCCGATACAGCTTACATGCAGATACTTCGGCTTAGATCACAGAAACATCATCCCACCAGTCATCCCATCATACGACACTCCAATACAACATGGGACAGCAGAAGTTAAACTACCCAGTCTCAATCCGCTGCTGAAGTCGTAGGATTGTAGCATGATTTCCATGTACTCTCATTTTCTGGCCAAAAATGTGACCATATCGCATATGCATGCATGAGTTGAGTGTCATCAGAGATAACAACCAACAGAGTTCTGGCCGTGGGGGCAGCGTAGTATGGGCTCTTGTTTGCGGTATTGACAAAGCTATCCAGAATCTGATGGAGCCGGCAATATATAAATTTATCCGCTTTTCTAATATCACGAATGGATAATCATTTACAGTTGGCTGTTTGTTTGGATCAAACCAATTCCAAGTAGGTTGTCGAGGATTGTGAGACTTACAATCACAAGTACTTTCAAGTAACACTATCACGTAAACACAAACTCCAGTTCAAGTACAAGCAAGATAATAAACAGAAGCGTGCATGTGTTTATTGGTTCGTAAATGTCTCCCAAAAGCAGACACAAAGATACATGATCAGGTCAATTCTAGTCTTCGTCCTCGACGCTTTTCGACACCCATCTGCGGCGTGACGGACTTCTTGCAACCTGAGAGATACTGAGCGCCGTGACAACCTTGGAAGTGCCTCGTAAGCCATTAATTGGCCCGGGCGGTTTTGGGTATCCCTTCATGCTTCCACTCCACTCCATTGTCCGTCTATTTCCCAAATCCACGCGATCGGTTTCGTTACCATCTCTTCAGCTTGCGGCGCTCTGGATCAGCGACACATTGTCTCCCTTCAGCAGGATTTGACCTTTTGTCATGTTAGTATATAGCAAAGGCATGGGGTTTTAGGTTCCAACGCACCGAGAGGTCTCCTGGACTCCTTATCGTTGGTCTTGGTAATCTGCTTAACCTCTACGGCATCGTCGATGACCAGATTCATGAACTCATCGAAGCCCTATGATACGTTAGAGTTTGTTGTCTACGAATGATTCTGCGTGTACTGACTCTGATCTTGCCTTCAATACGAATGGAGAGCTGCTCGTACAGCCAGACACTGACCGTAGCGTGCTAGAACAGTTAGCAAGAATTCTCATCATCGACCATCACCGTCCACTCCCGTCTTATGGACCTCAATAGCATAATATGATACAATCTCTCAGCAGAATTGGGAGATGCATCACCAGTGTAGCGCGCTAGGGATGAAGATCGGTATCCATTGCAGTCGTTCAATCCTGGCCCAGTCGATTCAGAACAAAACAGTCCCAGAGCTCGAGCCGCATTGAACCACCACCTTCATACCATTCAATCCCTCGTTCGCATTCATCTTTGACACCGAAAGGCGCAGAATCCGGGATAGTATTGCGTTTTCGAGATCCATCGGCGGTCAAGCGTTTCGGCGATCGACGGCGTAGAAAAGGATCGTTAAAACTTACTGATTGGAGAAGCTTGAAGATGAAGTTACTAAGATTACGTCAGTACACCGTCTCCAAGATTCAGCGAACAAACAATCGCGTCGCGAGGGAAGCATCAAAGGCTTACATGGGAGGAACGAGAACACGGCGACCACCGCCACCACCGCGACCAGTCATTTTGATGTGAATAAGCGCAAAGAACCGTAGGTATCGAAAAGGGGGGGCTTTCGCTATGCTTCGGGTCGGGATCGAAGTTGTGAGATAGCGAGGTTTCGACTGTTTGATCACCGCGATTCTGGCTGTCGCAAGATTCCAATGTGGAAGCTCTGAACGCCAACCCAAAATATTGACGGATGTGGGGCAATATTTATCCGAGTAACTTTTACTTCCGGGTAGGTAGGTTAGTACCTAAAACAACAGACCAAGACCGCACTCTCGAGGTTAGGATCTATCTCAAAGGTAAATCATTGCTGTTGCAATACTCTCTATATTCTCCAACTTCTTAGCGAAAATATATTTGCAAGCCATATCATAAATTGGGTCACAACGCAATGCTTCTTTGTCTTTTTGCATCCCCAGTGTCACAAACATAATACGTTCTCAGGATGATACAAAACAGGTAATTTGATTATATCAATAAGTCGCGATTTCTTAGCCCTACATCGCTACAATTATACAAAGAAAAACACACTTGTGAAAATAAAACGCTTGGGTTTTACAAGTCTCATGACCTCTCGCATCTTACATTAATGTCCGTTCCGCCCGAATTCTGCGTCCGAACCAAAATAACAAAGCAACAGTTTTCTCCGGACTTGAATCCAACATGATCTTCTCGCGCCCTGAGAATCTCCTGAAGTATTGCCATTTGGATCATTGACGCTTGGAGATATAGAACCGCAATTTTGAAAAAAGCGACTGAGGTTTGGTTCGTGGCGCTCGATCCTTTCGAATATTGGTTCTTCATTCTCGATGGTGCTAGCTCGTAACCACAATTTCTTGTGATATTGATATATTTCCTCACGCGATGCATTGCCGTTCAAATCTTGGAGCATAGCCTAAGAGAGGATTTTTAGGGCGTATCTTGGTCCTTGAATCGATGAAGACCAACGCCAACCTACGAACCGATGTCGGGGTCAGATACTCGCCGTCGCTGTCGGGAACAATATCTATTTTGGATTTGAGGAACTCCCAAGGTTCATCATCAATTCCGTATGGAAAGTCAGCCAGATCGCCCTCCTCAAGTCGCGTGTGGTTTTCAGCAAGATCTTTGAATAGACCAATCGGGATCTCATATGCGTCTTCGCAGAACAATGTCTTGGCGTATGGCACTGGAGGCATCACATCGCAGACTGCATGAAATCTCAGGATGGCAATTTTCAAGGTTGTCAAGGGAGAAAACAGTGTCCAAAAGGGCACGAGAGCTTGCAGATGGTACGGGTGATCATTGTAGACTTCGATGTCGAGGACAGTTAAGTGCTTGGTACGGAGTCCGTAGAGTGGGACGAAAGAAGGTATAGGGCAGGTCAACGCATACTATGCTTTGGTCGGGACATCGCATCTAGCTTGTAGATGTGTTCTCTCGCTAAGCGACAGAAAGAAAAAATACACCGTTCGCTGAGATAAGAATCGAGCGACATCTGGATAGGAGGTTTGGAACATGGACTTGATGTAGAGTTTAAGAAACAGTCCAGAAAATCTGATCATTCGAGCGTGCAAAAGCTGTGCAGGACACTCCATCTTGTTCGTTTTGGTCTTCAAAGGTGTAAGATTATGATGATGATACTGGGTGTATTATGTTGCTCGGGATGACTGTAGTTGTGAGTTTGGGCGCTCATGTTAAGGACCGAGGGATCATGCCTACTTAACCGTGAATGCTCAGGCTTGTCGTTCCTCCTTCTGTTTGTTTGCTATATGGTTTGATAGAAGAGGCAAGTTCGAGCGGGTAGCTTAGTATGCATTCGACACACTTGCTACCTTCTGACAGAGGAAAAGAACGAAATTCGACAAGGTAATCGTTACGAATCCATACCTGGGTCGGCGATACCTTGCCTTCCCTACCGTTCACTTCATTGGGAAACACTTCCAAGTTCCGCCTCTCTATGCTTAAGAAAGTAACAGAAGTGGTATATAGAAAGGCCGCTACACATGAGAAATCTATAGTATATACAAAGAAACCGTGAAGATGTAGCCAATGTAGCTCATGTCCAGCAGAAATCCCATCATCCATCGTAAACCCATCGTAAACCCATGCGCCTACCCAATACCAGACATAAACACCTCTATTTATAAGAAGACAACAATGTACCCGAGGAAAACGATCAAGGCCAGTCCGACACCAGGTTTCGTTGTGAATGCACCACCTTCCTCCTTAATAACCTCCTCTTCGAACTGTCCCTCCACATTGCCCCTGGGCCAGTACTCGCAGACAAGATACCACCCCTTCTTGCCGCACAGCTTCCTTCCACAGCCCACAGTGGTGGTATCCTTCCAGACAAGCTGGGTGAAGTGGCCCGTCCCCTCGTCAAACTCGGCGTCGTCAAAGTCATACTTGTCCCGCTCATCACCCCATGCTTCGATGCTAGCTGTAACGTTGGGATAACCTATAGCAAGGTTTTCGCCATACGGACCGCCTGAGTGCTCGAACTCGCAGTCGTCGAGATCATCGAGGTAGTCTGATGCAAACTCCTCGAGTGTCTTGTTCCACTTTAGAGCTGTGGCATTGTGCTCTTCCCGGTAGAAATTTGTGCTGTTAAGGACAGCTGATGTGAATGTGTCTTTGTCCTTCCATTCTGGCTCGTTGGATGGGATTGATACTGGTGCCGTGATTGTAACGACATCTGCAGCAAGGCCGGAGGCAATGAGTAGAGATACAAGAGGAAATAAAGTATGCCTCATGGTGATAAATGTGTGTTTGGGAGTACCAGGTGTTTGTGTAAGCGGTTTCACAACGTGGGTAGCTGCCTTGGGAGATGGCTATATAGACACAAGGTAGAGCGCCAATTGAAGCAAAATCACAAGTGCAGCTGTTGGTTTTTCTTGTGGGAAGACTTTTTCACGATAAATCACAAAAACTACAGAATATAACTAACGACTCTTCGTCTTCTCAGCCTGGTTTTTCTTCATCTTGGCCTTGGAATGGGCCTCTATGACGTATGCTTCTTTCGGCCAATAGCTGTACAGCACATAGCTCAACCAAGCTGGACTGGCTGGTGACGAAGGACAAGGCTGGGCATTTTTGTTATCTATCATCAACATCTCCACGATTCAAGATTTCGAGTTGGGATGGAAGATAGATAGACAATAAATAAAGTGAAACATTTAGTGGAGGGTAGTCAGTCAGTACTTTTAGTACTCCAAACTTATGCACAACAAATGTTAGCCAGTTCAGTTGACAACTGAGACGGCGGCGAACTGGCGGGGTGGGCATTTCTTGACCACCCACTATAACAATACCTGGTAACGACTATAATATGGCTCGACAATGGCAACAATTGGTTTGCATCCGATCATCAATCGATTGAATAACCGCATAGCTGATGGGTCATTTGCACTGTCTTTGCACTACCGCAAAGTCTCCAACCACGCGATTGACGCTCAAGGTGCCCCAGAGAGAAAGTGACAGAAAAGTTGACCTCCAAGGGCAAATGTTCCAAAATAAACAGCGCAAAGCCGGGTGTGTACAGACGAAATCTGTCCCGATAATTTCGTTTTTTTTGTCTCGCACCAGTCATACTTTTTGATGCCTGATTACTGCGATACTAGGTAGACAGTATCATATCAAGCTCGAAACATGTCCGATAGTAGGCAGAGCGAGTGTGAGTCACCAGCTGGTTAGTACCGTTTCTCTTGTACCGTACGTGCATGTTTCTTTTGCTTGCCTGCTTGTTTCTAATTATGTTTGCTGTTCTCTCGACCTATCTCTCATCCAATCCCAGTCCCACCTGTGCGCGTAAGTCGTCGACTAATAACGCACTCGTGCGGATTCTAGTGGTCCCTTTTCCCTCTTATTATCACAGCCGAGTTCTAGACTAACCAAGATCCCACCCTGAAAGTGGGCAGCGTCAGAAACGTCCTTTCTCAAACGTTGTATGGCCGAGGACCGGTGATTAATTGAGCGATTATTCGACAGCAGGTAGCATCTGTGCGACCAACAGCCTCTCGATTGACGAGTGGCTGAAAGAACAAAGATGCTCCGATCTAAGCATAAGCATGTTGTAAGCATTCTATCAGTCAGAATGTCTTACAGTAACTAACAAGTGCCGGTGTTCTTCCCGTGAGCAAGCAGCCAACATTGTATGTTGCAACCCACAGCACACATTCTCGCTTATTCGTTCAGTCGCATCGCATCGCAGATCTTTAACTTTTGAGCATCTGAATCAAGAAAACTAACAGGCGAGAGGCGACAATGTTCCGAGCCGCGGCAGTTACAGTAAGTTCAGCCAAGTTACAGTGCCATTATACCATTCAATGTTTCCCAAACTCGACTGCATTGCATCCGTTTCCAAGTAAACCGTCATGTCATGCTTCATGCCACACCAAAAGCTCAGGGCCATCCACACCTCCAAGGAAAACTGTAGAAGCGAAACAGAAAAAAACAGAGAGATGATCGCGACGACAACGGTTGGTGATTCGCCCAGAGTCTTGGAGACCCTGCTGATCATCTTAACGTAAGTGGTAGATCTCTTAGGCTTGGAGAGAACAACGACAGGACGCCTAAAGGACTTTACCCGAGTTTGGTATCCATCGATCGGACTTTCTTGGCCTGGCTTGCATGGTAGAAACCAAGTTTTTCCTCTCGTCGTCCTTATAGTAACCTTTTCCGTGAACGCCACCTTCTCGCACTCTCGCCACTTTGGAACTGCTCAGCCCGTCAGTCGATACTGTTTGCAGGCTGTACGACTTTGCAGTGGATACTCCTTCGACTGAACAAGAAAGCCGAAGCTCCCTTGTGGTTGTATTCTTGTCCTCCTGCAGGGCGAGCATCACACCTCCAAAAGAGCAAGAAGAGGCATCCCGTCGACATGACATTACGTACGTTCCTTGTTCAAGCATTGCCGAATGTGATAAGCTTCGTTTCTGCAAGATTTGGCTCCCCCAATCCGAAGATTAGCCATATATTTCTATTTCACTCGATGCCGGGGTAATCATTGGCCTGCTGATTGGACTTTTTGTTCAGACATGATTGCTTCAACGGCCGTTTCTAACCACTACGGAATATCTTCCGCTGGTCAGACGAGGCACCAACCAGCTAACCTCAGCTAATGATTTATAGTTCCTAGCACAGACAAGGTGGTCGCCATGTGTTGATAATGACTTGTCGTTAAATTATTCTACAAATCCCGACCCGTCCTCGTGGCGCAAAAGCAAAGAGGTCCTTAGAACTAGCCAGGATGACAAGTCCTGTATTTAATCACAATACGGCACAGTACTGTAAAATGAACTCACAGGGGCCTCTTGATCACCGTTCAATTTCCTGGACAGGAAAACGCCACAAGGCCCGCCGTTCATGAGCAAACTCAAAATATCTCGTAGGTGTGGCAGCTCCTGCAGGGTCCCGAGGTTCTGTAGCAGGGACAAAATATCACATCTTATTATCCTGTACGTACTCCTGCTTCATGACTTGGTGATGTTTCAATAGCGCAGAGGTAATGAATCATACCGAACTCTGCTCTACATACCTTGGTTCAGTTTGTCGTGTTTGCTGCAGTGCTGTGCAGCTTCTTTTCCAGGTCTGTTTGTTGAAATGGTGTAACAAATTGATTAGTAGAATGTCTGTTAGCTTACCGACCCCGTGGCTCTAGTTAGTTGGAGTTTCTAGTGCAGGCTTCGTGGCCTTGGCTTCTTTCTAGACCACCTCCATCAGAGATCCGAGCAAACAGCAAGTCTGACCTTGAAGATGCCGACAAGAACATCTCGATATTATCCAGGCCTAGATTTTCGGACAAGTACGGACGCCATGGCGAAAGTACCCACTAGAGAATCCTTTCATCGTCAACGAAGCCATCTTCCCCTAACGCAAGCAATTCTGCTTTTCGATTAGCCAAAGGCTAGCTTCATTCGTGGGGCTTCCCCGAGAGCCTCAATTACGGTAATAAGAGAATAATTGCTTTGTCCGTCAACTGCGTAGCATTCTAGCTCCAAGTTTGCTCTGTTTACAAGCCAGCTGGTGGACGGACTCCATGTATTGATTAGTTTGTGATCTGAACTGGGGCGTCCAAGCAGTTTTCTCCCAGTCCCAGTTCTAGCCACCAATGAGAAGGTCGGCCTGCGTAATCAATCCTCTGGAGCTTACAATTTGTGGCCGTCAAGCTTACTCGTAACGTGCACTAAAGTTGAGGGAACAGGCAATGAATATGAGAAGAGAAGAAAGGACCGCCGCAGCATCCGAGGACGTGTCGAGACGGGCGTACGAGGGAGCGCTGATCGAGGTGCTGCTGGCTAAGGCTGTCTTGGTTAGCTAGTCTCTGTTGAGATCAGCCATATTGCTGTCTCGTCTCGGGCCTTCATCTCCAGGTCCTGTCAAGTCCAGTACGACGCCGCAAACAGCAAAATCTGGGGAAGTCAGGGATGAGCTGCTGGTGGATGGTGTATGCGCCGTCAATAACAAGGGGCCCGGCCCTGCTAACGCACAGTCCGACTCCCCAGACCGGGGGTTACAGTAGCCAGCGGTCCCCCCCCCCCCCCCCCCNCCCCCCCAGATTTCATTTCTCTAGGTCAGGTCTTGGTTAGATTCGTTCTTGTGGGAGCCAGACTCCGCTAAACGGGATTTGGGGTAGCTACTGAGGCATGTACTGTAGGCATCTTTGCTCTAGAAGTACAGTGCGAAGGCGAGATCAGCCAATTGTCCAAGTGATGAAGAAGTCGACAAGTGGCGTGCAGGGATTGAGATAGACGAGGATCAGAAGAAAGGGCGTAGAGAAGGGAGGGAAAAACGTGGAAGAAATGGTCAAACTCCTCGTTGGTCAATCCCAATAGCTAGTCTCACACGCATAAGCGCGTGGTGTGGTAGACCTTTCCTGTTGTTTCGCAAATTTGAAGGAAAGGATATCTAAAAGGCTGACTGTCTTTCAAAGAGGGTGAGTTATTTGCCGGTACTAAGCGTTTATTGAGCAACGGCTCGCTCAATCATCGGTATAGCCAGCCTAGGGTTGGCGGATAATGTCATGGTGATTCAATTCTGGCTTGAGGACAAACTGACATCGCTCTCTCTCATTTCACGAGTGTAACCAATCGTAAATCGTCAAAAGACAAGCATCAATCCCAAAGGGGTTGTAGGAGCCTCGAGCTGTGGGCCGATGCTGCACCTGACCTTTTTTTGTTCTTGGATCAATGGAGATATGCCCCTTTTTGGACCTAACATTCTGGGGTTTGAGGGATCTCTAGATGAATGCTTGACGTGCTGTATAGTGACGACAGATGCTTGCCAGAAGCAAGTAACAAAGAAGGACGCGGCACAGGATCTATGCTTGGATCTCTTTCTTAAATCCCTAGGGCTGATACTGTGTTGAACTCGATTTCAACAAAGTAAAAGTCTCCGATCGTAGACGGATTGTAGTGGACTGAATTGGAGATTCCTTGGAGAGCTCTTCCAGGGACCAAACACACCCATCAGCATTAGAATGGGGTATTGTATCATCCACCAAAGGTTCCTGCTTTGTTGATACTTGGCCAGTGCTCTCCAACATATTCCTTAGATGTTGATTCCCCTGCCGCGGAGGGTTACATGTTGAATTAGCAATCCTCATTTGTTGAACAATGGCCTTGGCCTTTGTTCTCTTCAGTTAGATAGTGGATCGCATCTGTAATGCATTGATATTTGTTCCGATTAGTTGATTCCACTCCGAGATTGCTAAGCTAGGCTAGCAGCTCATCGACAGGAGAGAAGAAACAACTGAGACATGAAAAGAAGCAGTGCTAGTTCATAATAGAGGGTGCTTTTCATAATACCTTAGTCCCTGTGGGACGCTAGACGGAGACTCAGCCTGCAGCAGTGAGTGTCTTTTCACGTCCAATCCTCAGTACAGTGCACCGTGTGCAGTAGAGAGTACGTCCTTGTCAGGCTTCTCCACCATGGATGATTCTTGGCACACCTCGGGGGGCTGTGCAGCGGGAAGACAGGGACAAGGATCGCTCTGCTAGCAGAGGCGTCAATGCGTTGAAGCGCAGAGAGATAGCGATTTGGGGAAGCTTTTGTAGCGCGTGAATGACGCCCTATCTCACCACCAACCGACCAAGAGCCTCTAGCGAAAGCTGCCGACCGTTGACAGCTCAAGTGCTTATGGTGCAAAGCCGCTTACTGTAGCGAGTGACATGTACATGATTTCATCAATGTTAGGTAGAACTGGAATTCTGTATCCTCGAAAGATATGTCGGCTTGGATCGACATTGATTGATTATTGATTTCAGGTCAATTCGAGGCTGAGAAACAGTTTCTGATAAACTGCATGATACCGCACCTCGATCATTGTGCTTCTCTAGGTTTACAGTACACTGTACTCTCCATAAAGAATCAGTCGTACTTACGGACATACATGTCCCCGAAGCCCATCGTGTATGGTGGTTGTGTTCCTGGATTCTCGGTGAACTAGCTGAGCAATTGGAGTAAAGATGACTTGAGAGTATGTGCTATGCCGTTCAACATGGAACGAACAAGGGACGGACAGGGCCACCATTCTCTTGTGTTCGGCGTGGCAAGAAGGTCCTGTGACTGCAGTAGTAGTAGCGGATGGTGACATGGGATGGCATGGCTCGTGGTGTGTCGGACAGGGATCAAGGGCCCTCTGCAATTGAAACCCCATTCGTGCTCACATGAGAAAGAATGCCATGCCATGCCATGCCCTGTCCATGCCAGCATTGTTATGTGCCAAAACCATGTCCAGTCAGGGCGAGCAATTCGCGGCCATAGACAGCCGCGGCGACGGGTGTTTGATGTTCATCAATTTCATCAGGCTGCCAGTGTCAGTCAAGTTAGCCAGTCAGTCAATCTGGCGGTGAGCAATTAATAGTAAAGTATAGTTAGTACAAAACTCGGATAGTTTGCAGCCGATCGAGGGTTCCGTTGACGGCAGCGGATACAAGGCCAGTTATCAGTAAAGATTGATGGACCAAGCGAGCACTAACTTATTGTTAGCCATTAGATAGAGTCCGGTCGAGAAAGTAGAGTACCAAGCCTCATTCATCACTCCCCAGGTATGGGTATGGGCGTTGGCAATGACCCTGACTACAGTACAACTCGACCCCTGAAATGACGCTGCAACTCGATTCGCTGCTTTTCTGGTCCCTTTGGCTTGCGTACAGGTGGATTGGGGGCGTAGCTTTGGCAAGCATTGAGTATTGGTTCGTTCTGGCGCTCACTCTATCTGATGAGACAAATAAACTTAGTACTAAACTAGGTAGAAAATGGGTAACCTGTCCCTCGATATTTTGAAGGGGAGGAGACAGCAGGAGCAAAGCGAGTCGAGTCGAGCCTACCAATATCAACATTGTGTGACAAACTGTTGGATGATTTGTTAAAACTGATTGAAAATATTGAAACATACTGACGAGACTCAGACTCAGACTAGGACTAAGGGATACCTTGTCCATGTGTGACACAACAACGTGCGGCCCCATGCCCTAACGGGACATCCAACTAAATAGATCAGAGACAGTAGAGATCAAGGGCTTGCGCACGGTCCCTTCCCTTCGTTTCCATTGACGATTCTGATTTTGATTTTGATTCGGATCTGAATCCAAGTCAACTTAGACTAGGGCCATTATCCAGCCAGACCTGGAACATTACTAATCTGCCGTCCGTCCAATACAAGAAACGAATGATGTTGCGATGGGAGAATTATATTTCTGTGATGGGCTTTTTTATGAAACAGACTAGATAGTGGGTTCGTGGATCACGGCAACTTCCTCTCGGTGGTAATCAATCCATTTTTTTACGGTATGTATGTACGAATGTACGACCAAAACATTAGTTGCACAAAGACGAGTACGCGCTGCAGGTTTCCTGGTTTCTGGTCTAATCTGGTCCAAATCCAGAATCCAACTAGAAGGTGGCAAATAAATTGTTCTGGACGGAATGAAGAACCCTCATGAGGCTGAACCGAACAAGGTCTATCTGTCACCGCCGGATTTCCACAAAGAAGGTTCCGTACAAGCACTTACATAGAAGGGATTACAGTGGTTGGCTATCTGATAGAACCTGGCTAGGGCTTGGCCACGAACACGCTCTCAAGCTAGGTGAAACGCACGTTGGACTTACAATTGGCTCTGATAGATGCGAAATCTCCCCTTGCCCTTATGATAGGATGTCTACTTATGAGATTATGTAGCTGCGAACCTTTTAATCCTCATTACTCAATCTCTCTGTTTCTAGACAAAATACATAGTTAGGTAGTCTATCACTTCATCAACACTTCATTTAATAACAAACCGACCCAAACCAACAGTCAGTCTCACTCCGAATTTGCAGTACAGTGCATCACATGCTATGCCACTATTATACTAGGTACACTATACACCTGTGTTGGCCGAGCCGTGAGCGGTATTTACATCCGCACAGTGGTAGGTCCAAGCCCAAGCAATCCCAGCAGAGCCCAAATCAACGCAGGACCCTATCGACGCTAAAAGTGAGGACAAATCAAATAGGATGGACCCGCCCAGTACAACGACTGGAGGCAATCAGCTAGCAGTTTCTCATTCAGAGGCAATTGATCGACTGATTATGGCCAAATACCTTCCGACCTGATACTATCGTGCGGGTACAGTGCAGTTTAATAATTCATGTTCCGAGATTATTACCGAAGCCGAATCGTATACATGCATAAAATAAGAAATTGTACTGCAAGATTGAATCATACAGGTACGTTACGTACATAGTAGATAGCGATAGGTAGTAGTCTCTCAACTTGGCCAAAGAAACACTAGTGAGTCCTTGCTCCAAAAGTAAAGTCGAGTGCGAGAAAAGCCAAGACAAGGGTCAAATGAGCAGAGCCGCTGGGCGATCATTCCATCGTCTGCGACTGTTTGTCCAAAAAAACAAACAAACAAAAAAACAGACTACGTATTGTCCTGACAAGCGTCACATACACGCCATGCCATCATTCTCAAACATCACGCAGTCTCGGGTTAATAATTGCCGCAGACAGACAGATCCAGAGCGATGCATGCTTGCTCAAGAGAGAAGAGAGCAAGACAGACTGTAGCGGGCGCTTGATATTGACATGGAACAGCTGCACGTCATCCCATCGCTAAGTTGTTAACGACATGTATGTACTGTACTGTACGGGAAGCAGAAGCTCCATATTTGAGTGATTCAGTTGTATAATTGCGCGTCATGGTCCCTACCTATCTCTTGACGCAGACCCTGTGGGCATCTGTCGATGGACAATGGCCTGGTAGAATGGGTTCCCGATTGGGATATCTGCAGACCGGCGAGCGACTAAACTACTCCATAACTGTCTGAGCCGATCCTACGCTGTTGTTTCCAGACCTAGTCTATCGTCATGTTTGGAGTAGAACAAAGCGCTTGTGTAGGAACGATGAGAACGATACGAAGAGTCCAATACCGAACATGGTCCTTGATAAATAGCTAGGTAGGTAGTTATTGACTGTATTTTGTGGTCTGAATCAAAGTTACCTAGGCCGTGCGTACTCAAGAGACTAAACTACTAAACATCCATGTTGGATGCCAAGCTTAGCTACGTCTACGTCTACCTAAGCTAGCAGCTAATGTCCAAGCGATCTAAGCCTCGACCACTCGTATCTTAGACTTCAGAAACAGCCCGAGAGACCGTTCAAGGGTCTTTTCTCCCTTGGGTTTCCGCCTATATTCTGCTCTACCGCACTGCTCTGCTCTGCGTATTCCATGAATGAATCGTCTTCAAAGGTTACATGCAGGCTTTTTTCTGCATCTCGGGACGCCGCAAATACATCGTCATTCATCCCACCCAGTAGCTATTTCGAGGCGCCTAATTCGCAGTTCCTACAGCCGGGAGCTTGCACAGTGTGTGCGTACTACTCGGCCAGTTCAATTTCAGCCCGCAGTCCAGTTCAGTCCAGCCATCGGCCGAGGGATCGTACTTGTACGGTACTATACTGTACTGCCTTGCCCTGTAAATGTTGAAGCGTTGAATGCCGTCGCAAAAGGCGGTTGCGCGGAGCGTCTACTGGGGCTCATGTCCAATGGGTTCTTTAATAGCGATACACAAGAAGTAAGATTTGAAGTTCTAGATGGACATGTTCGTAACACAACGATGAGCTTAGTTGACAAGGGCCAATGCGTTGACCAAGCCAAGCACAGTTAACCGTGATAGCCTCCCCCAAAAGACCCTGTAATATCTGACACCGAAAAGCCCCCTGTAAATCATGATAATCACACAGGAAGCTAACTTTTTAATTCAGCCATGCCTCGGAAAGTCCTGTATGCATTTGCCGCGTGATGTAATCACAAATCGAGTTGCTGTGCCGTATTTGCTGTCCAGGCTCGCTCCCAGAAGCATTTTGGCTTTTGCGGCAGAAGTTGCTGGGATAGATCGGCCTTTTTGTTAATCAAGGGTATCCATTGCCAGGCTTCTCCGGTCTAGGCATGATACATCCCACCACTACAAACCCAACTTAAGACGCACGAAGGGTTAGGGATCCAAAAGTAACGTCGTACTCCCGACCGCTCCAAGAGTATCCACACATCCATGATTGGGAGAGAGGGAGGGAGGGAGTGAACTGTGAGCCGTGAGCCTCAAACCAGGACAGGACAGGCCAGACCAGGCCCCAAGAAAACATAACATGCTTTTTGATGACTTGACGATATGACGCAGGTGAGGCAACTGACGACAGCCTTCGGAGGCAACAGACCCGAATTGAACTGAGATGATTGATTGATCAAGTTGAAAATGACGAATGTGGACCGAGATACTGACTTTTGTAGAGATGCTGCAGCGAATAACGCAAACAAACAAACAACCACATTTTACAGCCTGCTTCTGCCCAACCTCATCAATTACAGCTTAATTACAACCTCCATGTCAATTCTCAAGTTCCTATTAATCCGATAACCGTAGCTACCTATGAAAAGGAGCAAGGAAATATCCTCCACTACTGTCTTTCCTTATCCTTTGCCAGTTCGATCCTTTCATCTTAGTACCTTGGCTTTCTTTTACTGATCTGAGTAAACTACATACGGGAACTTGATGCGCCTCAGGGAAACAAAACCACAGCTGGAGCCACACCCCCAAAGTCCCCAAGTCGGGCAGGTTGCCATTGAAAATCGGCTGTACAGTGCCACGCACCGTGCCATCCGGCGGCTTCCCTTGCCATCCTTGCTTGCCTGGGTCCCCCGTCCGTTCTATTCGGCACCAACCTAACCTACCTTCCTCCTTCTGCTGCATCTGCCACCACTGCCTCAAACTCTCTTTCTCTCTCACTTTCTCCAAGCAGTTGCTTCACTTGCCTTTCTTCTTTCTCAACGACGATCTCTGAATCTGAACTGCTTCATACTCTTCCTCGCCAATACAACATTTCTTCCTACACACCGAGGAATATGATATTGTCGCCTAAAGAATACGATTTCCTTTTACTCTGATTGCCTTATTTCGTTTATACGCCTATTCACTCTATCTACCTCCCCTCCCCCACCAAAAGTGACAAACCGCGCCCGCTGCTCGCCAAAAGACTCCCCGCCATTCTATCGTTGCTTCTCAGTCGCCCGATTTCGTGCCCCACGACGAGCCGTTGCGAGCACGACAGCGAAAACCTCACTTTTTCGACCCTCGCGAATGCGAATTTGATCGATCCGGCCTGCGATGGTTATTAACGACTCCGGCGTTAGAGTCTCGCGTCCCAACCTCGCCATGTCCGCTACAGCCCCGACAAACGCCGCCGCTGCCGGCACTGCACCCTCCACCACCGACGACTCTGGTGAGCTATCCCGCCTTCGCCGGCGCTGCCCTTTGTACTTCTGAGAGTTCGACTCGACTCGCGCGCCACTGCCGACCAAAACTCCCGATTTTACATGCTGACATTTATAGCCTCAACCATCACTGTCAACACAAAGACGCCCAATTTCCCTCCCCCAAAGACGGACAAACCCCGACCTCACGTCTGCGGTACTTGCACTCGTTCGTTCGCCCGATTGGAACATCTCAAGCGACACGAACGCTCCCACACAAAGGAGAAGCCTTTTGAGTGCCCCGAGTGTTCAAGATGCTTTGCTCGCCGTGACTTGTTGCTGCGTCACCAGCAAAAGCTGCACCAGAGCTCGACGCCAGCTTCCCGCCCTCGTAATCGTCGTGAGTCCACAACCGGCGTCGCTCCTGGCCAGAGCCGCGCTAGAAAGAACAGCGTCGCTGGTAATGTAGCAGCAGCTGCCGCCGCTGCTGTTGCTCCAGCTTCAAATGCCGTATCAAACACAATGCGTCCGCGAGCCAATACCATCAGCCATATTGACGTTTCGGCTTTGCAGATGACCTCTGCCAATCCGTCTGTGGCTCGTGGTATCCCTCACGGTCACACTCACAGCAGACACCCAAGTCTCGCCGGTTTGCCAATCCACAATATGGATCATTTCTTTGGTGGCATGTCCAATGCTATGGGCCAGCGGTCTATGCAACCCGGCATCCCCAAGCTTGATGCAGGAGCCTTCAATAGCCTGGACTTTGTTAACCCTCTCAGGACAGCGCCCCCATTGTCTGCATTCAGTACCGAGTTCGAGTTTGAGAACATGCTTTTTGGGGGGACGACAGTCAACCCCAACGCCCTCCATTACAGCGATTCACCACAGGCGATGAACGTGGAACAGGCGTCGCCTTTCGGAAATGGGATCGATGGGATGCACACGAATCAAAACTTCGACGATAGCATTGACTGGTTGACTGGGTTTGAACACCAAATGTCATTCGCGAACGAAAATGTGATTGATGGATCTAGTCCGTCCGCAATCAGCACGACGAGTCAGAGTGGGATTAGCGATGTTATGTTGGATGGGTCGAATCATCCCGCGCCGGCTGGGACAAGTGCCATGTGGCAACAGCCTGTGATGGCACCTCCGCAGATGCCAACGAACCCTTTTGCGATGGATCTGAATGGTTCAGTCTTTCCGGATCTCCTCAACGGAGCACCGTTATCACCTCAGCCAGCTACTCAAAAGATCAATGACCCTTACTTCTCTACGCCTCCACCCTCGCTGAGTTCGTTGAGTCCCTCTGTCGTGACGGGACTCAACACCCAGAACATTAACCAGACTCTTGGCTTCAACGCCGGCCCGGAGACGCCATCCTCCCTAAATGGCGGCAACCACGGCGCTTCGCCCGTGACCACCATTACAGATGCCACCCGGCATGCCATAGTGAACATTCTGTCCCAGTGCCTGCCCTTTGGGGGTCGTAAATATTCCTTTACTTCTCAAGGCTCACCCCAATCTCCTCTTTCACAGACTGCCCCTCCTCAAGCAGCCAACTTGCCCAGTACTCAGGACCTCCAGCGATATGTCGGTGCCTATCTAGCTTATTTCCACCCTCATTTGCCTTTCTTGCATCTTCCAACATTGTCCTTCGATATGCCTCTTTCCAATAGTCGCCCAGGTGTAGGTGGTAGTGGTTGCCTTATTTTGTCCATGGCCGCCATCGGCGCGCTCTACGAGATGGAGGTCGCTGTATCCCGAGAGCTGTTTGAAATGGCTAAGAAAATGATTTTCTTCTATCTTGAGGAACGGCGAAAAGCCGACGTACGAAAAGCAGATATTCGTCGAAGTACTCCAACTGACCACAGCAACGATGGGGGGGTTCATACTCCAGTGTGGCTTGTCCAGGCGATGCTCCTCAACGTGGTCTACGGCCACAACTGTGGCGACAAGACTGCAAGTGATATCGCTTCCACCCACTGCGCCGCTCTGGTCAGCCTTGCTCAGGCAGCTGATCTCCTTCGGCCCGGTCGTCCCAACACCTCTGAAGGCCACGACGTCCAAATGACGGAAGATGGGAACTGGAACCCAAATATGGAGACTGATCAAACAGAGTGGCTGCGATGGAAGTCGGGAGAAGAGAGGAAGCGAACTCTATACGCAGTCTTTATACTTTCCAGCCTCTTAGTCTCCGCCTATAACCACACGCCCGCGTTAACCAACTCGGAAATCTTCCTGGACCTCCCTTGTGACGAGGAGTTTTTCTCGGCCGAGTCGAGTGCTGTGTTCCATGCCAGAGGCGGAACAGAGGCTGCGGATCACAACAGAATGACATTTCATGATGCCCTGGGCGATCTTCTTCATGCTAACGATAAGCCACATCAATTTTCTACGAACGGACAATTCGATCCCTCAGTGGACGGCAGAGATCTCATGGCATCGCCACTTCGCACCAGCACATTTGGTTCACTGATCCTTATCAATGCGCTCCACAACTACATTTGGGAGACACGGCAGCGACACCACAACAAATCCTGGACAAACGAGGAGACGGAAAAAATGCACAGGCACATTGAACCTGCTCTTAAGGCATGGCAGGCAGCTTGGGCAAGCAATCCTCATCACAGTGTTGAGCGCCCGAACCCTTATGGTCAGGGTCCTTTATCAGCCGATGCGATTCCTCTGCTTGATTTGGCATATATCCGACTCTTCGTGAACCTCGGGCGCTCAAAAGAGAAGTTCTGGCAGCGGGACTGGGACGGAATGGCCGAAGAGCTCTCTCGTGGCAACGAGATTGTTCAGCATGCGGAACAATCACCCATCTCAAACTCTGAATCTGGTAGCACCGAGCCCTCAGACAACTCCAACAGCTCCGGATTCGTGGAATCGCCTGCGACTCAGATGTCATTAATAGACTTTTCAAACGCCAAGCATCCTTCTCTCCAGCCGGGATCCTCCATGTCAGGCCATGCCACTTCTCGGCGTGAGAAGCATCTACGAAAGGCTGCCTTCTATGCCGCAGATTCGCTCGCCATGTCTGATAAGCTCGGGGTCACCTTTGCCGACTTCACAAGTAGGGAGCTTCCGCTTCAATCCGCCCTCTGCACCTTTGACTGCGCTCAGGTTCTCGCGGAATGGATTGCCACGCTGCAGGATCGGGTTGGTTGCTACCTAGGCATTCTCGGCAAGGACACAGTCGATCTTACAGATGTGCATGCTATCATGCTTTTGGAGGAGGAAGATGTCAAGCTGCTTGGCAAGGTCCAGGAGGTCTTGTCCTCTGCAGAGATCAAGATGAACATGCTGAGTGGACAGGAAGCCAATATGGACATGGATGGTTACAGTGGCTATGCTGCGAAGTTACTTCGAATCACTGCCATGATGCTGGACAAGGCAGCGGTCTGGCCAGTGACACGTCTCAAGGCTCGATGCCTGGAGGCACACGCAAACTTCATGCGAACTCGTGCTGAGAGATCGATTATTCCTCAGCATGACTCACGACTGTAATCATCGATACGTTTGGGGTGATAATCTTACGACACTTCTGGCTTCATGTCCGAGAAGTATTTACGAAGAGCAAGCGTTATGCCGAGATACATACAGGGTTCGAGGATGTTCTTTCTTTCGCGTCACATAACGGCACTGGCTTGACGCACCATGGGAATTCTTATGAACGTCTTACACAAAAGTCGACGCCTTTTTTGCGAATTACTGGTTTTTTCTTCTTTGGGGCATGATTACAGTAGCCCGATGTGTGTATGTTTAGCGTCGGGGCGTTTAGCGGCTGCTTTGTGAAAAGGAGGATGCGGAGTAAATAGGGACATGTCAGCTCTCAACAAGTTTGACCGCCATATTTCGCATATGTACAAGTTGCTGGTCATCTGTTATGTACTCAATACATGGTCCGGACTAGGATTCTGAAGATGTTAGAATAAATACGAAGTGTGTATAGGCAGAAGCGTATCTTTTAAGAATGAGTGCTGTGAAATGCGGCAAGACATCAGATGTGGTGTGAAGAAACAGGATGTAAATGCCATTAATCGCAAACAATTACAAAAACTATGTGATCCCAGTAGGTAGCAGAAAACATGGCCTCCTAAGTCTTAGGGTATAAGAATAAATAGTCTTAGAACTACAGTCAAAGGAGCATAAAGTGACCTACTAATTTCCTCTCTTATGCTTCCAACGGTCAATTTTTCTGATACCCTAAGGCCATCCTCTCTGATTCTAAGGCTCTTCTTGTTGCCTACGGATTAATCTAGGCAGAAGTTGAAACACCATAAACAGTGTTCAGCTGTGGGTTAAAAGCGGCCTATTAGCGTTAATCACAGCTGGGGTTATTCACAGCATGCTCTTAGACTTCACATACAAGAGTCGACACCAAAATGACAGAACAAAACTCAATAGAAATGACTCCTCCGGATTTCAAATTTGTATTTGACGAGACTGTCTCAGAATGGAACGTCAACCACCGCGAATGGCTCAAGACGCACGACAAAACGTGGGATTCTTTAGCGACAGGAGCCCTCGTCTTTGACGCCTCTAACCGTATTCTCCTCCTGCAGCGCGCACCCGATGACAGCATGCCCAACAAGTGGGAAATTCCCGGAGGAGCATGCGACGACGAGGACGAGAGTGTCCTGCATGGTTGTGTGCGCGAGCTCTGGGAGGAAACAGGTCTAGAAGCCACGTACATCCGTCACGTTATACCTGACAACCAAAACGGGAAGCCCGGTGCGGTGTTTACGAATCGCACGGGCAAGAGATTCTTTTGCAAGTTTAGCTTTGAGGTGGATGTTGCTTTGGCGGATGTGAAGCTGGACCCGAAGGAGCATCAGGATTACGTGTGGGCGACAGAGGAAGAGGCTAGACAGCAGTGCATGGGGGAGAGGGAGATTCCTTTAACGAATGCGATTATGGTGAGGATAGTTGAGATGGGGTTTGCTTTGAGGAAAGCTAGTCAGGGGGACAGGGTTTGATCCCTTTGAAGGTTGAGGAATGAAGATGTTCTTATTAATAGTTAAAGATGTTCTACTTGTATGTCCGTCGTGCCTGTGTATCATTGTCATGCACCACATGAAATATCTTTATCCATCAATCTCATACCTAAACATTTTTGTATCTCATTTATCCACAAGTATTATCTCTGAACATAACTTTCCTCAGGACTATATTACGGTCCTGGGAGAAAGCCATTCCCCAATGAGGAGAGCTCGGGCAGCAAAATTGCAAGCTCCTCCCACAGCCGTCAAGGCAGTGAACAAACCAGCCAGAGCTTGAGGGCCCATGTTTTCAAGCATGGCACCACTGCTGGGAAGTGCAATGAGTAACGCGAAAGCGGTGACAAAGTTCATCATGCCTGTGATGTGGTTAGCCGAGGCAGTCGCTGGCTATACTAGAGACCAATGCTTACCGTAGTATCGTCCATAGTCCTTGGCCTCGCAGGTCTTTCCCATGCACACTATTATATGTAAGCCATACTACTGAGAACAAGGGATAATAAATCAACACTTACCAGGCGTGATGGAGAGAAATGAGCCAGACCCAAACCCCCAGAGAGCAGACCAGGCATACAGAGCAGTGGCTGACCTTGTGCCAAAGGGAACCAGCAGAGCGCCCATAAAGACAACGGTAAATACAACCGTCACCAGAAGAATATTAAAATGCCCATACTTGTCACCAATAATCCCCGGGATGATTCTACCAAACGTAGAGGCTGCGCCCACAATGGCAAGCAAAGTGTAACCATTCTCGGGAGTAAAGCCGATGCGCGTTGCAATAGACGGTAAAAGACCCGATATACTGAAAATGACAAACTCAAACATGAAGATGCCGCCTGTAACAAAACAAAACGCAGGAGACTTGAAAGCTGTGAAGTTGAGCGTCGAGCTCTTGGGACTCGCCTGTCCTCCTCCTGTCGACTTCTTGTAGATGTTGTTAAAGGGGATGAAACAGATCATGCTGGGAACTAGCAAAACAGCTGATATAAAAGCCATGATTCGCATAGACCACTGCCAGCCAAGATTGGGATATGTAGAGCGCAGAATGATAGGAAATATGACAGCTCCAATGGATGATCCTGCAAGTGTAATGCCCATAGCCAAACCGCGGTTGCGGACAAAGAGTTTACCCACGATGGCAATGGCAACGACCATTGTCGTTGCAGCACCGAAACTGCCAAAGACGCCTAGGCAAAGGATAAAATGCCAGTATTTACGACATTCGGCCATGAGGAGGAACATGGCGACATACAAGACTGCTCCCACTGGGCCGATTATCATGGGGCCGTGAACGTCAACCATGGGGCCGACTTGAACGTTGAGGATCAGGGAGAGGAAGAGAAACATGCCGCTAATCCATCCGACCTGGCCTTCGCTGTAGTCGTGAAGCTGGTTCATACTAAGATATGTCTGCACTGTTCCGAGCGAGTTCATGAATCCTGAGAGGAGTTGTAAGTGTTTGTCATTTTGTGGTGGACGGAATCATTACCAAACGTGGGTATCAAAGTGAGAAACGCTCCCAGAACACAAATCCATGCGCCGGATGATTTTTCGACGTCTTGAACTGTCGTCTCTTGTTCTGTTTGTGTTTGTGCTTCGGCATCTGGGTTGATGCTGGACATGGTAGCAGTTATGGGATCAAGCCCGAGAGCAACCCAATTAGCATTCTCCTGGATACTATTCCGCCGGACATCTTCGTCTTGGGATATTGAGTTAACCATGCTTGTAATTTTGGGTTCCAATAAAAATGCACAGTTCATAAAATAGAAATATCATGGTGTTGGGTCAAGTATATATGCATCGATCGGGAGTATTCCCGCGCCCGCCTTTTCCATCAAAACTTTTTTTCGTCTATTTTTCCCCAGTCTACTAACTAATCTAGATATCTTGAACCAATCAACTGAGAGCGACGTATCAAAAAAGCTCTGGTTCTAGACTCTAGAGTCGCAGATTCCAGCGTCTCAAACCCACGCCCTACGAGTCACTAATTCCTCCTTTACCGGACCGGAAGCAGAGACCGATGGATGGTGGGAAGACGGAGAGAAGCGAGTCGGTGTAAGCGAAGCAATACTGCCCAAGTATCGCGGACAGGCGAGAAACCAATCGGGCAATTATTATGAGAGCTTGGCAAGTTCAGTGGCGCTGCGGGGACATAGTTGACTCATTGGTTATGGGACTGTTTCTCTTGTCAGGGATAGGACAAGTTTTACATAAGATAAGAGCATGTTTGTTGAACTGGTGTTAGTGATTAATAGAGCGATTATATTGGTTACTTAATACCCAGGGAGTAGTTCTTGGCACTAGATCGTTGAAATTTGTGCGTTGAACATGAGATCAACAAGTTATGATTATATTCATCATATATTCAAGATAAACCCATATCTCCTCTTACTTACTTCACGACTGGTCTTTTCATACCTCACTAATATGTGTACTGGCGGTAGTCAACTATCGTGAGTGATGGACTATACCGAGAGGGCCTCAAGCTACTAGCAATTTCAGTGACATGGTCACACAAAAAATGGTAACACCATGAGGGAAGTTTTATCGCCCTGTCTCCAAGTGAACTATAATAGCCTCGAGTATTGTGACAGCATCACTTCATTTCCCATGTCCATATAGAAGCACAGGGTCTCAAGATCGGGCAGGCTATCTGCTACCTGACCTTGAAACCATCAACTTTACAAATCTCAATAACCATGGCCCGCGACACAGACTCCCCTGATATCTTTACATCTTTCTCAAAATGCATTGTCTACTTGGACATACTTGTACGGGAAACAAAGCACCCGGCATATAATTTGAAAGACTCTCCACCAGAACAAGACATCCGGGATATTCGCCAGGACCTTAACCAGTGGGGCGTAGCATACGGGGCAAACCGTAGTATATCTTCTACCTTGTCACTCGATTACAAGTTTCAAAAATATGACTATACCAGATCTACGATACTGTCGCAGCTTGGGCACTTGGTAGAGGATTTGGAGGGTCGTGAGTCAAGTTGTTCTTAGGACCAGAGGATGAATTGCGAATGCTGACTTTGGGTACAGTCCAGAAGCTATATAAAGGAGAAAGCTACCAAGGCCAGTTAAGAGTAATATTTGGTAGAGTTGAAAGTGTGGTCAATGAGTTAATACGTTTCTTGGGGCATCTTCCAAAGGAGCTATGGCTTGAGCTGGACAGGCGAGGCGAGATGTCCATGTAAATAGGCTGGGTTTGGTCAAAAGAAATATAGCACATTAGACCGAAATCCATGACATGTAATTGCTTTAGGATTTCTTTGAAAAACCTGACTATAGTAGTAAATTTTCATATGCAATAGTCTAGGTCATATCTTGGGAAGGGCAACTCTGAGCTATTCTCGAGTTCCAACTCAAGCATTTCCTGAGGCTCCCTACCAAATCATAAGTGGATATCTGAGTATTGACCGTACGTGTCTACACAAAGTCAGTGTGAAGCAACGATACACAGCTTGAATAGCTATATAGCGGAAGCGCCATGGTGGACAACTTCGGCACAGTATTCACTACCTTACACCTGCACTCTTTGTCGGAATGCATTCTTCTTGTGTTCACATTGATCAGTTATGAATCACCAATGTCTCTTGGGATATGAATTACATAGAGGCCGTAATAATCAGGTCGATCCAGAGTCAAGTTTCACAATGTGTGCTAGGCTCTAAAATTGTGAGTGTCCACGCTATGCTCTATCAACTATAAATCAAGCGTACCTCTTGGATATATGACCTATCATTGTCTCCCATGATACCAAGAATGCAAAACCACACTCACATCGCAGCCCAAAACCTACTCTTCACAACACCAATAACTGCTAAATATGCCATCATAAAGTGTAAGAGAATACAGTGACAGTGTTGCCCAAAAAGTAGAAGAGATCTGCGCAAGCTTCCGCCAACTCATCCACGAGGCAGAAACAAGGCGTAACATGAAGGAATGTCCAACAAGGTCCATGGTATGATTTCTTGGAAGGAACTTCAACGATTGGGTGAGGCTCTCTAGAGTTGACAGCAGACGGCCGTCCGTATGCCGTAGTTCCAAGGTCGCGCATGATATTGACTGTCATAGTTCTCATGGACTTTCGTCAGGGGCCGGATAACGTAGAGGGGTCGCAAGCAATCGATGCTGCCGAGGCTGTTGAGAGCAACTTGAGATCTCTCAGGCGCTTGACGGGTCCCGATAGGTACCGCTGAGGACATCACGATACGGTCGCGCCGGCTACGGTAATTGATGTCTTTTTGTTTCTAATTTAATCATTTTCACGTTAATAATGCAAAAGGTACTATCTGTTTTGACGCGAAGCTCTACTTCCATGTCATTTTGTACCATGTCACAATTTTTGAACTGAACAACCGTCAACAAAACACGTAAATAATAAATGAACTGCCTTTTCTCTTCATCGTATAAGACCCTATACCGTGCCAATGCACTTAGCCACAAAACTCCCATGAAGCATGTCTAAGACTTCACTACTGTACCCAATGACAAAGGGCTTCCACTTTCAAAACCATACGAGTCCAAGACGTACTACATACGTTCCAAAGAGCCGATTCTTCTTGAAAAGCTACTTCTCCAAGTCTTCTGGGTCTCAAGTGTTTGGTTGGGAGGATGCTAGGTTGACGTCCCTCAAGTACACGATGCTCTTGAACTTAATCCACCAACCGTAAGAGTTTCCAGATTATCAAATTAATTGTCTGGTTGTTTGTGCGTCTTTTTGTTACAGTATTGTATTTGAGTCACCATTGTCTCACCGCACAACAAACATACTTATCAGGGGTAGTTGCTTGGCTGGACTTGTGGCAGGAGGAATAGTTCAGGTCATCTGGGTCTTGAAATCATTGTGCAAGTATATATACTACTTAACTCAGAAAAACAAATACATAGTGAACACAGTAGACAAGAACTCTGTATAAGAGGTATAGGGCAGGCGTCTTGCGACGACAACCTTCTTGTGCACGGCAGATGGTGAATTCTATTACGAACGATGAACGGATATGTGGCGATGCTGGAGAAACTTTAATCAGAATCTTGGCTATTGGAATTACAAGCAACACAGCCCATTGTGTTAGGGAGTTATTCTGTAAATCATCTTGGCGATAGTGCTGAGCCACCATTTTAATACGTGGACTTGAGCCAATATACCACTGGACTCATGACTTTTTGCCAAATTGGTTTCCTCGGCAATTCAACATTACAATCTATTAAAGTCACAAGGCCTGGCATGTCACTCTAATCAACCTAACGAAAGCTTGAGCAAGTCTTCAACACTACAACTCCCGCCAATCTCGAGGTTTCAATACTTTGCAGACAATAGAGAAGCCTGACATGCTAAGTAGTTCGTCTTGGCAATTCCAAGGCGACGGAATGCAACCAAGAACCCTTCTTGGCGTTGGACACTACCCTTAATTGATGCTGACCGCAATTGGTATTAGAGTGCCCCGCGTTTTGCGGTATTACAGAGTAGTCATACGCAATGGTCATGTAGAGAACTGATTCATGTCGTAGCCCAGAGCATTGGTGGTTTGTATATCACTTACTGTGTTTGATACCGCCATCTCGAAAACTCTTCAAGAAGCTTGCAAATCATGGGGTCTGATTTGACTGGTACAGTTATCGATGATCTACTACAGTACATACTCGCTGATAGTACGCCGGAGTGAAAACGAACCAGTCAGGGTGGCTGATCAGCGTGACATGACTTCATCAAGAGTATAAGCAGCTAGCGAACCAATGGTCACACAGTACTTGATCACTCAGGGCATTGACTTAGTTGAAGATTTGGGGATAACTCGGAGTCGGGAATATCGCGGCTTTGTGTTGGTCGGTTGAGACGGTTAAGTCGGTTGTTCGGTACAGCAAATGTCCATTGTAACCAAAAGATGTCAGATTGGCATCCAAGGCCTAGATTCTGAGGTGACATGTGATGGTGGTAGGATGTAAGACATGAGATCTTCATAGGAACTGCTCTTGTTCAGTCAACATGGATAACCTCGATTGGGTTTGGTCTGTATCCCGGCAGTTGGCCTGATAGCTCATTGCAACCCGGAATCTGGAAATCATGAACTGGTGCAGATTCTTCCTGTAGATCGGGAAAACCTTGATTATAAGTGAAGATCTATGCTTTTTCTCTTGTGATTTCTTGGTGATTCCTTGATCAGATACGACTGAGTCAGGATGTAAAACTGGGAGGGTCCAAACCTTAAAATGAGGATAACAACAAGAAAACGGTTCCAAAAGAATGACCTCACACGAGTGCTGATCATGTCAGACCCCTGTTGACAACACAACAAGGGACCCCTGTTGCAATAATTAAGGCTGGATGGATTCAAAGGAAATTGGCGGCCTTGTCCGATGAATACTTGATAACGAGATGAGCGCGGACCGACGCTAGAAGCTCATTTTCCTTCTGCCAACCTTCTATTTTTTACTCACCAGCAGAAAAGTACGGGGCGAGTTCAAGGATACTAATCAAGGCCCTTTGTGTTGGTTTCTGCAGGGGATATGGTTACAGACTTGGATAGTTGAGAGACACATAATTGTTGTTGATGTTGATGTTTACTTTTAACGTCGTATCCAAAGAGTTTTAAAATTGGTGATGAATGATGAGCCTGCAGAACATGTCTACTGGGTAATAGGAACCGTTACAACCAATAGCTTGCAACAAGCCTTGAATCGCAAGAGATTCTCGATTTAGTCTCAGGTTACCAGGGTTGTATCTGCCTCACCATGGCAAAGCACGAGCCTCACGGAGCCAAGCAGGGGTTTCTTTTTTATTACTGGCAGGGGGACATTAGTTAGAAGCCAGGAACTTTTAGAATTTGATATGAAACAAAAACAACCAACAGGCTGAAGTTGGCTAGTTAATGCTGAAGCTGAATCTATTCGAGCGCTGAAACGAGCGCGGACGATGGTGGATTGACGGGTTGATGCAGGTCATTAATGGCTTAGATATGAATAGATTTGATTTTATGGAGATATGGATACATGATAAAGTAATCGGGAATATAATGGATATAAGCGAGTTTACATTGGCACAAAAACCCATCCAAGACATGGCCTGACTATGAGTGAATTGGTGAGTGTGTAATGGCAAGACTATCATGAGTCAAGCAAAACAACTACAAGTCGAAATAGGTGGAATTATGTGGAGTGGTGATGGACACACAGGGTCTGGCCTATTTCTTCTTCTTTTTCCTTCTTAGGTTGGTTAAGATGCCCAAGTAGCCAGGTTGTCTAGATCCAGTCATCATCACGAAAAAAGGATGATCATGACCCTGGTCATGGGAATATACCCTGAAAAAAGCAATGCAAAATGAGCCTTTTTTTTTTCTCACCCTTTGCAATTTTTTATTTTACGAATGGGATAAAGTATTTGCCATACCGATGAGCATCTCCTCGGGATATCATCATCTCGTTGTGGAGATCGGCCATTATTCATCATATCAAGTTTCTGTGAGTGGATTTTTGTTGCCGTTATCCGTAGATTCGGTACAAAAGTGAATGCATAATTATAGAAAAAATCGAAGTAGTAAAAGAGAATACCGAGTAAAATAAATGCGCTTGTCTTTTGTCATTACGCCTAGCATGTTACATCCCAAAGAGATTGATGAACCTTTGAAGATTTTGACTCTTTTATTTGCTCGGGTGTAGGTACCTGGCTTTGGGTTCTGATGCAAAATAGCATCTTGATCGGATGGCAATACTCTGTAATAGGTAGCCTTGGCTGGATTACGTGTAATAGTCGAGGCGAGGACCCCTAACACAGAAGCTGAATAGCAGACTTTACTGCATCTGGTTGGTCGAGCCGCGTCACCGAAAGAAGCGAGTGCTCCTCCGCAGCCTCCGGGGTTTACGTTCAGTCTCTTGAGTGATGAATGAAGATGATGATCGGGAGTGACGGATAGAAAACCTCGGGGCGTATTCTGGCGTTTTCTCTGTCGTTTCCTCGGAGAGTGAGCCAGTGGGCAGATACATTTACTCCGACATCCCACTCCAGATAGAGAAAAAGATGTTCCCTGTTCTTCATTCCTATTCCTCTTTATGACAGCATCATCATCACCGCCAGAAATCTGTTAGAGCGCTACAACAAACCCTGTCTGGGACGAATACTGACCCGTTCGGGTCACCTTAGCTTTTCTCATTCTTGGTGCATGGTTGGCGTTTTCTTTGTCTGACTCTAACTCTTCCTCTTGACTCTGACGTTACATACCTGATTTGTTGTATGTATTAACTTGATTTATTCATTGGATTCCTGCTTTTCTCTGTCTCGTCTGTCTTCATTCCCTCCTCAACCTAGCCTTCATTTCCTCTCCCGTCGTCCTGTCGCAGACTGGGTTAAACTAAACCTTTACCAGCCCAGCCCAACCCCAGCCTTGTCTGGGTAATTATTATCATCTGTCACCGTGTTCAGTCTCGCTCTGGCCGGTCTCAAAATTCAGCCCACCAACCTCGGACAAGTGAACCGTGCTTAATTGACTGAACCTGAACGAACTGCCCTGGACAGGTCAAAGGTTGATACCTAACATAAACAATACTATTTATCATTCTCATCCGCCCCAACCGCCTATAACATTTTATCGTTGGAGCAAAGAAAGTGTTTGAAACCCATCGATCAATCAGACGAAATACCACGGTAGCGACCGATTAAATCGACAAGGGTTGCTGGGGCCTCAATCTCAATTCTCATCGTCTCACTCACGGATTTCTTTTTCGTCGCGTCAGAGGCTACAGTTGGCACTAGCCACAAGCGAATCCCTTGAATTTGATGTTTCGGATTTCCATGTTTTAGTATCAAAGGTACGTATTTCTCATTTCTTGTCTCGCTTTGGCTTGAATATTCGCATCCAGTTCGAGAATGTTTACTTTCCTTGTTTTTGGAGTTGAAGATGACTTTGTTTTCTTGATCAAGGCCCCTTCATTGCCTGTCCATCGCTCCACCATTCCTGTTCCATCACCGCTATTCAATATGCATATCACTTTCTATCCATTCATAATTCACAATAAGAAAGAAAGAAAGAAAGAAAGAAAGAAAAAAAAAAAACATAGCAAACCCCTGTCCTTTCGACCCCGGGTCCATAATCCACTTTGCCCTGTTTCTCCACCAAGTTACCTATCCCCCACTGTGTTTTTACTACGCCTAACCAAACCGGCCGCCCAAACGAACAAGGCATGACCCTTACTAGCTCAAAGATCCGGCTTTGTGCTTGTACTTGCTTGTTTGTTTTAGAAGGCTTCTCCATCTCATCTCCAAAAGGATGAATGTCATGGATGCCAGCGCATAATCCATTAGGGAATTGATGAGCACTGCTGTTGTTCTGTCCTGTGCCTAGACTTAAGACCCATACCCAAACACAGACACAGACCTAGACCCAGACCTAGGACATCACCGCCGCGGCACTGCAACACACCGTCTCGTTTGTATTTGCTCGTCTATGCTTTTTTCTACTAGCCCCTCCCTTCACATCTATTCTAATCCCTCGGGTATCCAATATAACGCCTTTTCTTTGCCCTGGGGTCGGTCAGTCACTCCAGTCACGCTCACGCGGGTCAAGTCAACCTCGAAAAGAGCTCTCTCATCTATAACCAACCCCATCGCCCTCCTCGCTTCACCTTACCTTCCTTCTTCACTGCTTCTGTTTTGTTTTGAGAGCATTCCAGCACGCACCTTTTTAGACTTACATCATCTTGCACACCCACTCACTGGGTTTTCAACGTTGCATTCTAAATTAATACTCGCTTTCACGGCTGGACCACACTTGCGCTTCCTTTCTCTTGGCTTTATTGGCCTCGTCATCTTCCACAGCCGTTAACCGCCATGGCAACAGAACAAGACCGTCGTCCCGCTTGGGTTCCTACTCACGACAACATTTACTACCGACCTCGTCTCATAAAGAAAAAGTCCGTTTCTGGACGATTTCCTGCTCCATTGATCGGTCCTCGAAGATCTCGTCCGCAAGCGATCCACATCGTTAGCTACCCGTCTGGTTACGTTCCTAAAGAGCTGCGGCCAGAAAACCAAAACAGAAGCAGACCTCACAGCCCTACGCTCGTTGACGACCCTCGACCTGCGCCTTCACTGCAGCCTCATCCCTCGACAACTGACAACAACAACAAAAGGCAGACCAAATCTCGCCTAGCAACTCGCCGCAGGGACAAGTTCCTGAGCTCTTTTACTTTGTCCAACACTGAACCTGAATCTATTTCGGGTCCTACAGCTGCCGAAGCGCTATCTAATACTGACCGCTCAACTGGGCAAGGCGCGACTGCCAACACCAATACGACCCAGGCAATTGGCCAGTCTTGCTCGCCAGAATCGGACTTGGCCTGCGAAGCGCCTTCCGCGGTTGGCTCGAGATTTAGATTTACTGGGGCAGGTCCATCCGCATCCCCGCCAGCTTATGACGACATAATTTCACGCCCTGTCTCCGGTTCTAGTACTACTGCGCCTGATACTACATTAGGCTTTGTCGCTACACCCGCTTCAACGCCTTTGATCAGTTCCAATCCTGCCGATTGCAACTCCAACTGTAATAGCAATTCCCCTCAATCAGCCGCGAATATGGCGACTGCACGAACTTCGCATCCTTCCCTCCCTCTCTCCAATTCAAACCGAAACAGCTTCATGTCTGCCCGTTCATCAAAATCTGCCGTTACTTCAGTCTCAGAGGTCCCTAAGCCCGTCGCTTCCGGCAGTGGCGTGTCTTGCTCAATTTTATTAGCTGAACCAAACATTTTCCTCTCAGGTTTCGACCATGATGGTCATGGCCACCGTGAAGGCCAGAGTGGTACTGCTTTGTTGCGTGGCAAGCTTCAATTGCGCGTTACAAAAAATGTAAAGATTAAGGCTGTTCAACTTAAACTCCTTGGTCGCGCCCGTACAGAGTGGCCCGAAGGCATTCCTCCTCTCAAGCAAGAAGTGTTCGAGGAGGAGAGTCTGCGCACTCAAGTACTGACTTTCTTCAATGCCATGAACGATGGCTGGGAATCTGACTATGGCAACCAATGCACTTATCGTCTCAAGAGTGGCTCTCCCAATGGTAGCTCTACAAATCTTGTTCGACCTAATGCATCGTCCTCTTTGACCCCGCAACAAAACAACCTTTCTGCCAAAGATATGAAGCGTTTATCTCTCCAGAGTGTCCAGTCGCGAAGTTTCCAGAAGGGCGACAGCCCGATCGCCTCGGCTACACAAGCCAAGGGTTACAAAGTCTTTTACCCCGGTACATATGATTACACTTTTGAACTACCCATCGATCATCACCAGCTGGAAACAACCAAGCTACAGTACGGATCTGTCAAGTGGGAATTGCAGGCGACCGTTGACCGAGCTGGTGCATTCAAGCCTAATCTGCACGGTACCAAGGAGGTGTCTATCGTTCGCGTGCCTGACCAACTGTCCCTGGAAATGACAGAGCCAATCTCAATCAGCCGTCAGTGGGAAGACCAATTACATTATGACATTGTCATCTCGGGCAAGAGTTTCCCCATTGGTAGCAAGATTCCCATCGCCTTCAAGCTTACACCACTGGCCAAGGTTCAGGTGCACAAGCTCAAGGTTTATGTAACAGAATCCATCGAGTACTGGACAAACGATAAGCGTGTGACCCGCAAGGATCCGGGCCGCAAAATCTTGCTGCTCGAAAAGTCTGCTGGCAAGCCCCTTGATTCTTCCTACTCTTTATCCGATATCCGAACACTCCGCGGCGGAGAGCTCGACCCTGAACAGCGACGACAGGCCCGTGAGGCAGCTGCCAGAAGACGGACACAGGAAGCTGCCAGACGACAAACTACCGCTGAGCCACTGCCCGAACCATCTGCCAACCTTCTTGGTGACCTGGACTTGGGGCTTGAGACCATCTGGGGCTCAACGGAAATTGAAGCCAATGTGCAGATCCCGACCTGCGAGATGATGGCCAAGAACAAGGAGCTGCGACTCAACCCCGACTGCAGCTGGAAGAACGTCAATGTGTTCCACTGGATCAAGGTACGACCTCTCGATTGATTGGCGTGAAACAGCAACTAACATTTCCCAGGTCGTTATGCGAATTAGCCGAATTGATCCTGATGACCCCAGTGGTACAAAGCGCCGGCATTTCGAGATCAGCATCGATTCACCTTTCACAGTGCTTAACTGTCGTGCCACACACGCCAACACTAACCTTCCTGCTTATTCAGGCGCAAACTGCAATGGAGCCACGTTCCAGTCCTCTTGCGGGTGCCCTGATGCTTTCACCGTTCCTACCGATGCTTCTCCCAGCTCTTCCGAGGGTACACTGCCAGGTGTTAACCCCAACAGCACTGACAATCTCCCTGTGCCACCCCAGGCTGCCCATTTGGCCAACGCTGTCAGCGGGCAACAGGAACCTCGACCAATCCATCTCCTCCGAGTTCCTAGCTTCAACCCCCCTGCGTTCGAAGACGATATCGCTCCACCTCCTGCTGCCGAGCTCGTTCATGACGCACCCGAGCCTGTGATGACACCTCCACCGCAGTATGATGTCGTGGTCGGAACTCCTAGTGTAGACGGTATGGCCGACTACTTTGCACGACTGGCCGACGCTGGATATGAGGGCCAAGATGACTCAGAATCGGACCCAGATGATTCACCCCCAAGGATTCTGGACAGAACTGGACGTGTCAACGTCGCTAACCCTCGAACTCCTGGTGGCCGGAGAATGCCGAGTCGAAGCTTGGAAATCTCCAGACCCAGCATTCAACTGAACATGAATGCACTCCATAACCGAGCTGGGCGTGCAGTGTGAAGAGCACTACCTGTCTGTGTTTGGTTATGACCGGATATACTATACCCCACATTAAGACATGCTCGCACGAGCTCATCAGCGCATACCGACGTTTGCGCTAATTACGATGTTTACGTCTATTTCTTTATTTTCATTTGTCAAAAGGTTGTAACAATCAAGCATATGGGCTGCATCTGGCATGGCTGCAATGGACTAGGTCTTGACGGCGTTTTAATTTGCTATTCGATTTCTCAATGATGGCCAGGCGTTTACAAAGAGGGAAAGGATGGCAAAGCAGGTCGTTTACTTGGGTTCCATATGGAAGGAGGAAGGGAGGATATACCTTGATTTTGGGGAACATAAATCATGCGCTGGAAGAACGCATACTCACGTATCGATACCACATCGTTTTCTTAACACTACAATACATGCCACCCGCTATGGGTATATCAGTTTGGACCATTTGCATTCGACATTGAAATATATATGACTATGATAAAATCAGGGTCCAGGCATAATATAATGTCCAGGGTCTTATGTGTTGGTGATGACATGATGACCTGGGGTCGTAAGCACTAGTCGAATATGTTCTAACCGAGCGGTAAGAATCTATTGTCATCATCTTGGCAGCCCGAGTTGGCCGTATTCTTCAGATTCAGCGATTCGCGTCACATCGTCCCAAAGCCTTGGAGTTAGTCACTTTCCCTTTCAAGATACGTGATGCCCTTTCCGGACATTCCGGTGAAGTATAGCTTGGCGTGACACTCTTGACACAGGATCAACCATGGCTGTAAGAGAAGGGGATAATGGAGATAATGAGGTTCCAATTAGACAGCGCAAGGCTCATAAGAAGTCTCGTCTCGGATGCAAGAACTGCAAACTGAGGAGCGTAAAGGTGAGTAGGTAGCTTACACACGTCTCATAACCACCCAAATCAACACTCGCTAATTCAACTCATCTCAGTGCGATGAATCCAAACCGTCTTGCAAACGATGTAAAACCTCTGGTTTCATCTGCTCGTTCACGCAAACATACCCGTCATCCTTTCAACTCGCCCACTTCAACGCAGGACCTGTCTTCTCCGTCATAGACAGGTCTCTTGGGCCCATTAATCCTGGCTTCAAAGTTCCTGTCGTGCAGCCTGTGAAGGGAGGCAGGGGCGAGATTGTTCTTAACGATTTTGCTCTCAAGGCACTCGAGAGGTTTCGAAAAAGAACGGTTTTCTCTGTTGGCACCAAGAGAACAAGAAAAGTTTACAGCGAGGGCGCATTCATGTTGGGATTGGAGGTGAGATGCTGCCGAGTCAATGAAGTACGTGACTGACTTACGACAGCATCCTTTTCTTATGCATGTCTTCATCGCCCTTGCATACCTCCACGACGAACATCTTAACCCAAACTCAACGGGATCTCACCGCACACCTCTCGCTTTCCACTGGTACCAAGCTACAGCACTCTTCCACCACCGTCTCGCAACCGCCAGCTCGGTCCATGACCCTTCAACACTTCCCGGTTCCGAGCGTGACGCTCTCTGGACGGCAGGGGTACTCCTCGGCGCTGCTTCGTTCGCTCTTCTCAATGTCCAGAGCGTCGATAATGTCTGGCCTCTAAAGGAGTCGGATTCGTTGGACCTGGATTGGTTAAAGATGAGCGATGGGAAGAAAGTCGTATGGAACCTAGCTGATCCGACCAGACAAGACAGTATCTTCTACGAACTACTCGCAGAGAGAAATTCCATGCCTGATGGAACCAGGAAAATTCCTCCCAATGTCCTCCCTGGTGTATTCTACAGTGTGTTCAACCTCGACGCTTCGTCATCCGCCTCGACCAACCCCTATCACACCGCCGCATCTCTCCTCGTGCAACTCCTCCCTCGAGAGATAACAGATAACACAGTGGTGCAGTTCCTCAGCTTCCTCACGCAACTTGACCCGCGCTACCGGAAGTTACTAGAGGAGAAGGATCCCAGGGCCATGGTTCTACTAGCGTGGTGGTATACCAAGGCAGCGGCGCATAGTTCGTGGTGGATGCAGAGACGGTCGTTAGTCGAGGGGCAGGCGATTTGTATCTACCTGGAAAGGTATTGTACACACGTCGAGGGGGTTTGTGAGTTGGTTGAGTTTCCGAAGAGAGTCTTTGAGATCTGTCGAAGGAATGGGGGTATGGCTGCAGAGGAAAGGAGTGCTTTAGTACTTGGGGGTTGGGTATACTAGAAGGAGATTCTTGCCAGCTGGAGGACCTGGAGGATACAGGACAAGTCGATCATCTTGAATTTGTCATGCAACATAGCAAAAGTCATGAATGATGTTTCTGCAACCTTGGTGATTAAAGTCCGATACAGAAAGCGAAATGATCTTGTGATATCAGTAAAGTTTCATCCAACACTTTCTTTAGATGCAGTAATTACTAAGACCGTCATTGTATTAAAAAGTCTTTAGCCGCGTTTGTACAAACTATGATATACAGCGCTACTCAACCTAACGAGAGACCTCTAAATACACCACGAAACAAACAATGCTAGACTAGTCGATAGTCAATAGTAGTAAGTCAACCATAAAACTCCATCCTATCCCTGACATCGTGACTGCAAGTATCAAGCCTGGAGCATAGCATAGCCTCCTGAGCATTAGGCTCCGACACTAACCTCAGAGCTAACAGGCTGCTTCTCCTTGTCCTTGTCACCATCCTTGCTGGGCATCAACGGGTGCTCAGGGTCATAACCAACAGACTTGACTATACCGAGGCCTTTGGTGCGGCCTTCGCGGAAGAGTAGTCTATCACCTGGAGCAAGATACTCAGGACGTTGAACGAAGCGGAATGCAACTGTTGCACGATCTCCTGTGCGAATGAGTTCTCGGTCGATGTCGATTATGGCACAAGTCTGAGAAACAGGTCCAACATGGAGCATGGCCTGGTATTTGGTCTTGATGGTAGTGGCATGAGAGAGAATAAGGACTGGAAGAATGTTAGTGCCAATCGTCTGTCGGTTTTGCATTAGATATTCTTGTCTTGTTACTTACCCTCTGCGATGAATTCGCGATGCACCTTGGGCGTCACCTGACCTTCAACTCTGGGGAGTACCACCATACCCTTCCTCACATCCTTACGCTTAACCTTCTTGAGAGCAAAAGAGGCAGACTGGCCCGCTGATGCGGCGGGTACTCTTATCCTCTTGCGTTCAATCGACTTAACACCTGTAGGGATGAACTGCCCCAATGAGTCAGGTCCAATAAGGACGTTGTCGCCTTCGTGGATCACGCCGGACTTGATGATGCCAGATACGACGGTTCCCGTGAAAGGCACAGAGAAAGTGTCATTGACATGGAATTCGAATGGGGCATCTGAGTTGTAACGTCCGTGGTGAGGGAGAATATTCAAGAATGTCCTGACCAGATCAAGATTCTCTCCTGTTACATTGGAAACAAGGAACACTGGGCATATTCTCTGACTGACAAACTGTGTGGCTGTGTTGATACACTCCTCGCGCGTCTTGATGAAGGTTGGGATCTTGCGGGCACCGGGACTCTTCATGATCTTTGTGATCTGCGTCAACGTCTGCTCCAATATGTTTGGTGGACATATATCAATCTTGGTAACAACAACCATTACGGGGACGTTGAGAGCCAGGGCAATACCGAGGTGCTCCTTGCTCATACCGATAAGACCATTATTGGCGGCAACCATAAGTAGACAATAATTAGGGCTGCTGGAGAGCAAACCGAACACGGTTGTTCTTAGGTACTTCTCGTGACCAGCCAAGTCAGTAAAAGTGATGACCTTTGCGCTGCGCTTGCCGATTTCTTCCCAAGAAAGTTTGCCTATGAAGTATCAGTAAAGCTGTGCCTCGCAAGTTCCAGTGAAACATACGCCCTGGAGTATCTGAGGTAATAACATGGCCTGTTGTGTCAAAACCCATGATCTCCATACCAACAGAACTAGTTCGACCAGTCTCAATCTCATGCTTGTGCCGAAAGAGATTAACTCGCGCCTTTCCTCGCCCATCATCAAGATCACCCTTGACGAGCACGCCTAACATGGAACTCTTGCCAGCATCAACTATAAGAGCGTCAGTAAGAGTCTCTGGCATGCTGATTATCAATATCACACAACTATGGCGTCAAGAATGTTTCTCGGGGTATCAGAAAAGTTGGCCGCCAGAAGCACAAGAGACGAAAGTAGTAAGTCAGTTTATGCTACTTGGACCATACTTCTTAAACGTTTCTGCTATCCACCAGGTGTTGCAAGGCGGTACCTTGAAGGGGGTAACTTACCATTTCCTACTACTGCTATTCTTGTTTCAATAACATCCTCTATTGTGGAAGGGGTTTGCCGTATGAGGACTTTGCCGCTACAACTCTTGTCCTTGACCGGACCGGCGCTGGTGCTCGCGGCTTCAACATCGCCACCGACATTCTTGGTCAACAAGAGATCGCAATCGGCGCGCACTCTGTTCGCTGCTCTTTGTAGTGTCTTGTACGCATGGCTCCATTGATCGAGTGTCAAATTCATTGAGTCGCCATGATTCTCGTATCCGATCTCGAAGACGCATTCACCAAATCCTTCTTCCAACCGGTCGGACACGAGGTTCTCCAATTGCTTTAAGTTCTCATCATCCTCGTCCTCACTCGACTCAAGAAGAAGTTGCTTGAGAGGAACTCGAGGTGCTGAATCGGCAAGATCGAGATTATCGAACAGTTCGTCGAGCTCTTCGTGATGTTCGGCATTTGCGTCAGTGGTTTCGGTAGTTGTGACAACTGTTGTCTTTGCTGTAGGGTATCGTAGGTTCTGCTGCTGCTCTACGTATTCGGCGAAGTCGCTAAGAGCCTATTTGCCTATTATGAGCTTCTGGTTCCCATTATATTCTTTTGCTGAAGGTGTACTGACAGATTCACCCTTGCGCTTCTCATGCGCCAACGGCTTCGTTGTTGACATGTTAACGGCTATGAGGTCATGCGATTGTACGAGTATTTGTCAAAGTCGCAAGTATGAGCTTGACGGACCAGAAGATATATTAACAATACCTAACAAATGAGATTTAACAGTCAGTCAGTCATACGGCGAGAAGTGGCGCAGCCTTTCTTTGGATTATATTTTTTTTTATAAAGGAAGAGTCATAGACAAAGTTGTAGCATGATTCGCGGGGTGGTTACTCACGACTCCGGGACAGGACAAGGACAGGCAGGCACTTACGCTGCGGCGACTTCCTTATCGATAGAAGCTCCAGCTACTTAGGTAGGGGGGTTACTATAGAGGAGGTAGGTAGGTATGCGCACGGATCTCTTGAACAGGTACGAATACTAACTTATAGACCATCTCATCCTACCTATCTTCAAGACACGGGTTCTATGCCTGGTTTCCTGACGAAACATTTTTTTATCCCACTGCCAATTGCAACGAGAAATCACAAGACTTAATTTCTGTCAAGACTTGACACATGTTACTTCTAGGTACAAAGCCCTGCAAAATCAAAGGGTGTGCCGCATTTCAGCGGGGTGATTGCATCTGGGCGTTTCAAGCCACATTCATCTATCGGGGGTATCCAACCAGAACCAGGCTCAGAGTTACCAGGGGATACATTCTTTCATCCGTCAGTGTTTCTTGAACACGATACCCAGTTTCGATTCGCCAGGCTATCTTTGTTCAGGCAAGGAGCACTGTTTATTGGCATCAATAATCTTTTTTTTGTTATTAATGGCTTATATAACCCTATGACGCGACATGTTCCCTTATCTGTTCTAAAAGGGAACTCCAGGTGAGATCAAGACAACACTGTCACCTAACTCAGTCAGAACTTAGGTCATAGATCATCGTAGCTAAAACTTACCTCTCACAAATAGCATCTCGGATTTCCGGCTGATGGTCTAAGTTTTGGTCAGACACGATGAATTCTGTTGAAGACGTTCCACATACCTTGAGCTCATCGTCGTCATCATCCTCATCCACAGTGTAGATAGTCTCCTCGACCTCTCCTAGCACCAGGTTGCAATGGCTGTCGTAAGCCTGTCTCGCAGTTAGCATTAATTGTTTTCCATAGATCAAAGTTTCAACTAACATGTAGCTTTCCCTTGAGTTCTCGGTCTCCTCGAAGCTTGACAAAGACAACCTCGTTGAGAAGAAGTCGGACAAGGTCGAGAGGCTCCGACACATGATGAGGTTCTTCTCCGGCGTCGGCCATCTTTGTGTATGAAAGTAGTCGTTTAAGTAAGGTCGGGCTCGGTGAGTGAGTGAGTGTGATGGTGAGCAGAGCTGGATGCCGAATCTGAGCACCAGGTTTCAGTGGGAAAATGCGGGTTGGCAAGCTTGGGAAATCTTCGGGGAAACTGTTGTTTTTATGCAACAAGCCATGTCAGAGAGGGGGATGCATCTATCCTGTACTCTACCCCATACTTTGATGCACTTATCCAGAGCGGCTCTGGCTGAGCCTTCCCAAATTGGGGTTACACGGCAGCAAAACGCCCCTCGCGTGAGTGAGGAGGTGTTGGGTTGCTTCCGAGGCCTTTTCATTTCCCGTCATCCTTAGACATTCCTTTTCGTTTTTCTTCCATGTTATAGCGTTTGCTGCTTCCAATTACTGATTCAGCGTCATGCTCTGGCGACAATCCCTCCGAAGAACAAGGCCCTGTCTCGTTCGGCCATCGACAACTCCACTCGCTATCGCGCTACCGATCTACGGCCCACCGCTAGGAGCTGTACGGCCCGCTGCTGTGGGTCGACAGCGATGGTTAGCATCAGTATCATCTGTAGAACCAACTACAACTCTGAATCCGGTCGCTGAATCCTATACACAGTCGGATAGGCATTTGGACGAGCTTCTACGAGCTATACGATGTAAAGAACCCGAAAATGTCTTCCCAGCATTTCACGCATGGGTCATGTTGTTGGCCAACAATGACTCGGCCGCTCATCAACAGATGCGCACAATCCCCGTGAACGTCCTTTCTGCGGTTATCCGAGCGCTAGATCCCATTCGAAATCCACAAATTGATATTGCTCATGGTCTCAACATTTCTCTCGGTCAGATTCAGTTCACCAATGCTTGTCATCTAGTAGACGAATTCGGTGTGCGCCGTCATCATGTCTTTGTCCTCGAGGCCATGAAGCTCCTGCTAAAAGCTCGTCGCGATGCAGGACGTGAGCTTGTTCTGGCTGACTACGAAGTGTTTCTTCGCTGTGCTGGTGCTGCTAGCGATATCGCGGCTGCCGTCTTCTTTTTTGGTGCCATCAGGGAACATGGTTTAGCTCCCAAGCGCACAACGACAACTTGGACCGAGTTTCTCAAGGCTCGCTACCAGATGAACCCCGCATATTACCAGTTCGATCGCCAGCGAGTTCTTCTAAAAGCTCGCGATTCATACAGAGTCACTTTCAGGACAAGTCTAAGAAACGTCAGGCGCGTCGAGTCTCTACGACACAGTATGAATGCCCTCAAAGAACTTCCCTTCAACCGCCAAAAGCACCGGTTGTGGGCAGATAACTTCTTGTGGCAGAGACAGAAGATGGGTTTCCAAAGCTATTTTGCGCATTTCCGCCGCTCCAGAGCTATGGGTGTCTTGTTAAACGAGGAGTTGTTGTGTAATATTCTTATAGGCCTCGGCCGCAGTGGTTCACTCACACATATACGGAGTATTGTCCTAAAGAAGGGACTTGGAATTGGCCTTCTTGAGGACAAAGAGACAGGTGTTTTCTCCATAATCGGCCGAAAGAGATACCGGACTGGTAACCCGAGAGCTCCTACCGAGCGCTTCCTCAACGCCATGGTCGAAGCGTTCGGGTGCATGTCTCGCATTCGTCTTTGTCTCGATCTGATAATACATACATCAGATGTCTACCACATCCCAATACCGCATGAGACGTGGAACAATCTCTTCAACTGGGCCTATGTTTGCTCGACCAAGTCAAATCAAGCTCAACGAAGAATGCTGGAAAGCTTTCCCCGTTCTGCGTTGGTAGATGCCCAGCTTGTTACTGAAGTCTGGGAGACCATGACCTCTAAGCCTTACAATGTCATACCTACTTTCGAGAGCTATATCGCTCGTATCAAAGTGCTTATATTTCAAGGCAGGTTTGGCGCAGCGAGGGAGATGATTCGTGACCATGCCATAAAGCATTACCGCCATCTTGAGAAAGAGCATCAGCAAGTTGTATTCGATGAGGTCCTTCAAGAAGTTGCCCATGTAAGCCATCGACGCCTTACAATCGAAACCCAGAAGGAACATGCCTGGTACGCGATTCAAGAGTGTGTTCACCGTTTCCTCAGCGACGTTACGGACAATGCCAAGCGACGTAAAAGGAGATACTCACAGACCGTCATACCCAACATCATCTTGGAGTTCAGTGAGTTCATCAACGAACAGATACGCTATCGCACCGCTCAAGGATATGTGTGTCTCGAGCGCAGTGTACAACCATGTCGATTCGGGTGGGTCAAGAAGAAACGCCAGACGCTGCCTCAGCTCAAGGGCGGCTTGGAAACTCAGATGCTGGTAATAAATGGCAAGATTGATGACGCGGAAACATTCGAGGATCGCCTTGAGAACTGGCCCAGGGACGAGACCATCAATGTGCGACAGTGGAAACGTGTACCCACCCCCAGGCCTCGCGTCGAAGGTGCACCGCCTGAGTCGACAGATGTGAATGCGAGAGAGTGGTGGAAAACCTTGGCGGGTGAGTTAGTGAGGTAGAAGTTGTGACTTATGGATCTAGACTAGACCATAATCTAGTGTTTTGTTTCACACATACAGAGTGCAGAGTTCAGCGTGAATCTTAAGAAGCAGATAGTTCATCACGAATAATTCCAAATAGAGATTCTTCTTCTTTTGTAACCATTGCATACCTAACACCTTTCAAGCTGCCATTCATAGCGGGTATCTAAATTTCACCATCGTTCTCCATGACCCTTGTCCCAGCCGTGGTTTAACTAACGTATATCAAAGGTTACAATGCAATGTATACAAAACTGACTCAACTCTTCCTTGCCTTTTCCCGTTACCCTTCTTGTTCTGTGATCCATTCCATTTTGAGGTTTGTTTTGTTACATGTTTCCAGTGAAAAGGTAGGTACCCAAACGATTAATTCGAAAAAAGGAACAGTAAAGAAACTGCATAAGTGATGTACCGGAACCAGTCCGCCTAAATCATGACGCAGCTTCAGCGAGGACGCTCAAAAGACTCACTGCTGCACCTCCAATGCCGACTGCACCGAGAGCTTCACCCCATTTCTTTCTCCCTTGAGGGCGATCTTCTCTCCTTGTACTTCTTCTATCACGGTCACGGTCTCGGTCACGGTCTCTATCTCTTTCTCTGTCGCGATCACGGTCACGATCTCTTTCACGATGATAGCGCTTGCCACCATCGTAGTAGTAGTCGCCGTGCTTGTCGCTACGTGAGTGTCGATCTCCACCATTAGAATACCTTCGCGAGCGTCGGGATGACCTAGACGGGCTCGGTCGTCGGCGATCACGGTGATCATCGCGGTGATCGTGATTGCGATCGCGGTGTCGGTCATCTCTATAAGAGCGGGGACTTCGGCCATCTACCTCGTAAGGCTCTGGGTCGAAATGAACGCGGTTTTCATTCTTGTTCTTCAAGATTGGCTTCGGGAGAGTAGTGCTGGAAGGGGATGTCTTGCTCTTTGTGGGGGGGTTGACGATGACTGGGTAGCTCTTTGTACCTTTCTCTGAAGACTTGTCATCTTCATCGTCTGTGACATCGCTTTCTTCAAAGACCCCGCTGTCATCATCGTCATCCTCTCGGCTGCTCCTCGAGTCTCTACGCTCAGAGTAGTGATCATGCCTACGAGGCGGTGGACCACGTGCCAACCGTGCAGCACGACATGCTGCACTTTGACGAGCATACTCCTCAATCTGCTCTCGAGTCAAAATACCCAAGACTGCAACATAGTCAGGACGTGCTTCATACCGCACACCAGCCCGCTCGAGTACCTCAGGGCTGACACGCTCTCGTCTGATTCTAGTCCACTGAGCATCAGGTGGGATCTCGTTGCCCCATCGGTCTGGAGCCAGCCGAGGAGCGCTGCTCCGTGGGCTGCTACCATAAGATGGTGGGCCGCTATTCAAATGATGAGGCATAGGGGGCATAGAGCGTGGAGAGGCCCCGTAGTGATGAGTAGTTGGCGAACTAGACATCTCTGGAGCACCCGGCAGGCTGTTGGGTGGAAGATATTTGGGCTCAGGAGCCAGACTGTACTGGTCATTTGGCTGGACACTCAAGTTTGCTATTCGAGAATTGAGTTTGTCCATGCTGAGCAAGTCCTGGGTTGATACGAGTGCCATAGAATAGTCAGACTCGCTGTCGCCATCTTTCGGCGATTGCGACATAATGTCTCGAGGGGGGTCACTGTTTGATCTGCGTCGACCGCCAGTGAGGATAACAGGCGGGTATTTCTCGTAAGGGTTACCATTGTCTTCTCTCGGCGAAGAAGGCTGGGATCGTGCTTCTTGCTCTAGGAGACCTCGGACTGAAGGGTAGTTTCCGCCGTTCTGGTTCTGAACAGACTCGAGCTCACGAATGTATGCTCGTAGAACATCCTGATACTGTGTTAATCGTAACGATCTACAAACAATCATTGTGGATGACTCCTCGTACCTTGTGTTTACGTAGCACTTGAGGTGAAAACCCTCGATCCTCGAGCTCGATCTTGAACTCGCGCCACAAACCATCCTCGTCTTCGGTAAAACTACCTTCGTTGCGATTCCGGAATAGTTTGGTGGCGATTTCGTCAACGACATCCTTGATTCTCTCTAGACCCTCTTGGCCTTCGACAACTCTGGTGGGTCTGTTCTCGGCATGCAGCTGAACAGCGTCCAGAAACAAGTCAACGCTATATTTTTCATCGTCAAGTTTCTGTTTCATTTCAAATAGTTTGTTATCGCGTAGGCGTTCGTCCTCAGCCATGATAGCGCGACCGTCTCCGTATCTGTCCAGGAGCGTTTCAAGTTCAGCGAGGGCAAAGTCGCAATTTTCAATGTGAATCGAGAGTTTGCGGGCGTAAAGTGACGTAGATGAGGCATCAGCGTTGTTCAAGAGGGAGTCTTGATCAGCAGCTTCGATACGCAGATGTCGTAGGACTCGATGAAGGTTGCGAACGGCATCAGCGACACCGGTAAATGGAAGTCCTGACTGTTTGGCGCGGAGATAGAGATTTCGAGCAAGGGCATCGACAGCGTCGATGTGTTGGACGGTTGAGCCGCCGCTCATAGCTGGTGTTCTTAGGCCCAGAAGAGCCTCGATGTTGTTGTTAAGCTAGATGTATAAGTTGGTTGTAGTATAGTTTGTATGACACTGGTAAGATGCGAGTGGTCGTTCCTTATAAGTGTTCGATTATAAGCAAGGTCGGTCGGTATAGACTAGTGACTTTGCTGGCGTCCGTTTCTATAGAACGAACTTTGGGGTTATAAGTTGGGCGCCAAGTGGAGAGGTCGTAAACAAATTCAAGATTGATTTATGATAAGAAGAGAAGGGCAAGAAAAGTGGAAGGGTTGGGCGGGTAGAAGGGAGGGATCTGGTTATCAAGTGCAGTCCATTCAAAGGTTGGGGAGGTACGAAGACGTATGGGAAGGAACAGGCACGCGGACGAGGCAGAGGAAAGAACGAACACCATCAGTCATGGATGGAAGGAAGTGGGTGTGTAAATTTAATTTAGGTAGAACGCGGTTGGGTAGGTACTGCCGGTACTGTACCTTAGGTCTAAGGGCATGTGGTTAAAATGTTTCCATCGATGCCCAGAGGGGTCACCATACCATACCAAACTCGGGCATGCTTATATTGGAGAGTACATGGTAGTGGGCGGACAACTATTGCTTGTACATGTCACTCGACATTTTTACTCGTGTGATGATGATTTCACTTTTCTTGTGCCTCAGATCCCATGCGTTGTTGGTCTCGAAAAGAAAAACATTGCCAAAAGAAAAGGCTCAGGGTTCTTTTGTTGCTGTACGTCCTATTTCCGGGGACGAACTCAGTACCCTGTGGGGAAACGTTAGGTTCCTTGTCTTGTCTTGGGTCCTGGTAGTGACGTAGGTAGCCGCTGTTAACTAGCAGCCTTACATCATCGCTTATATCCTGTCAGGGATCTCTATTGCATGGTTCACAACTGGAATTTGATACTTGCTGCAATTGCTCATGATCGTCCTCTTTAACTTTGCGTCTCTCCGGGCTTCAATTCTTACTTCTGGGTCTGGGTTGATTGGTCTTTGCGTACAGAGTACGACAATACGAAAGAAAACCGTTTCTTTCTGGCGTATTCCACTTTGTCTCCTAGCTTCTCGCTGCGCCACCCGCTCGGCAACGGGGCGCTGCGTGGGGCATTCTTTAATTTAGCGGCATCAAGAAAAGACGTCCCTTGTCAGAAGGAAAAAAAGAACAAGATCAGGATGACGACTTTTAGTCTATTCTAGGGGTCCTTTATCCGGAGGAGGAGGAATTTCGAAGTTTCAGCTTTTATCTACTCCTGTCTATCATTTCATCACCAGCTGTCATATTGAGGCACAGCTTGGTTGATTGCGTTGCCGTTGCTCACTCACAGATCGAGAACCAGCCTCTAGGGGTGAGAAGGCAAACAAATACTTGGTTTACTCGATACATCCATCGCTTATCTCCTCTTCTCTCCCCTCGCGCTCGTGCTCCGCCTCGTGTTACTAGTGTCCAAGTTAAAAGAAGTCCTGACTTGGCTCGGCTTGAGTCGCTTCGCTGGTGCTCTATTTGTCATCTCCTCAGTGGTCTTCTAGAACATGACTACTGAGGTTAACTTTCGCAATGGGCTCCTTATTTGCCTCTAGTCTATGGCTCACCAGAACGCCGTTTTTCTCTTTTCAATAAGTACAGTACATTCATTTTTGTATTGTATCCACTCCCGTGCCTTTTACACTACACCAGCCGAGCAAACCGAAACTGATCTGCAATGCAGGGCTTTATACTGTCACGGTCACTTTCCATCTCTTCCTCTGTCCCATGTATTTTTTATTTATGTACAGCATCCTTGCTTGCATGTTCTCCTCTTGAACCCAACCTCGGGTTACTGCAGCCCCCGTTTCTCAAGCCTCTTTGTTTTGTCTGGAAGCTCGGCTTCGTGCATTAGCTATCAGCACTTGCATACCGGCAAGTCTTCCGCGACAGCTTTGACCATCAGATAGGCTGTGCTCGTAAAGAAAAAAAAACATATCAGAGAACTGTCTCGAGTAGCGCATGAGGCAGCAGGTCAACATGCTCCTCCGCCCCGACACTAAGTCATAGTTTGTTCACTGCCATTGAGGCTCTGCACTGTGCAGCCTATGCTTTCGGGATTTGACAGTGAGTCACCTTCATAGAATATCAATACGTCACTATGCGATGAGGCCAATAGAAGATTATGCAACAACTACCACGTATGTGTAGACTTGGCTACCTGGTTAGGCATTTGCTATACTGCATGTAACCGCAGCACAGGCCTGAATAGCGGACTGTTACTCGGTGTACCATGGTAGGGTATCTGGCAGCGTGGCTCGTCGCAATGTTCCGAGACCTTGAGACGGATCCGACTGTCGTGTATCAAATCTGCGGTTGCCTTTTATCTCTGCTTCCAACGAATTGCAATCGCATTACATGTCACGCAGAAGCAGTCCCTTGCAAGCTCAGTCGCACAGTTATCTGTGACGTCTTAAGCCATCCATTCTTTCGAAACGCCTTTATTTTTCTTTCCAACATAACACAACATCTGATGATGAGTCGACATTATCGCTGTAAACAAACGACATCTTCGATAAACCAAATGTTCATCGACATGTGATCTTGATTAACGCGCCCGCCCCCCTCTTCTCTCTGGCATTCGCCGTGTGTAGCCGATCTCTCTCGCTTTTGATCCTGCCCTACGTCCTTTGGAAGCTTTACCACCACTGCCGGGCGTTAGTTCGCCTCCATTCTTCCAATCACCTCGATTACCAAGCCAAATGACTAGTCTCGCTGGTGCTAAAGCAAATACCACAACTTTCAGCCGCATGCCATGTGGTGTTGCAGGCCAGCAACGTGCTTACATACAGGCTCCGGGTAGCGCAAGTCTTCCAGTTGCCTTATGGGAAAACTCTGTTTTCTCCGAGTTTCAAATTGCCAATTTTTCAAGCGAGTATGCCTCCACCTTCTGACTGATCAGGTGTCCTGTCTCTCGCGTGCTGCGCTGCACCACTTCTCCGCCCGACACCACCTTGGTCTTGGCTGGAAGCTGCTTCGTCTTGAGTCCCAGCGGGAGCAATCGGGACTCTGGGCCCTCTAGCTGCATAGAGACTGGTTTGCCCGTGTTCCATTTGGGTCGGCCTGCACCGCCCTTCTGGGCAGCTTGTCCATACCGGACTGCCTCGCTAAGGTAACCGTTGATAGTCACAACCTCTTCGATACCTTCGAGGGCAACACCCACCTCATTATGCAACGACGTCAGTAGATCGCCAGCCTCAGAATTGTCGCCTGAGATGGTGTCGTTGAGCAGCCATCCTCCGGCGCCAACAGCGTCGATGCACCGACCGAGGAGGTCTGAGATCAAAGCGATGACACCATCCGGAGGCGGGTCGTTGCCGTCCAGATCAAAGCTGCTTGAGTCGAGATACAGCGATGTCCACGCACCTCGAACGAGTTCCACTCTGAGTGTGTGGATGAGGGACAAAATATCATGCGTCTTGAGCGTAGCCCGCATTGCTTTAATCGTTGTCAGTGCCGGTAGACGCCATAGTTTAGCGAAAGCCAATGTGAGTCCTCGCGAGCGGCTACTGCTGTCGTCTCCGAGGTAGTACTCAGTGATGGCAATGTCCCGTTCGAGATCGTCGAGGTCCATGTCGTAGTTTTCAGCACCATCGTGTGCCTCGTTCGTCAAAAGCTTGCTGCTAGCTGGCTTCTTGGAATCAATGATGAGATCAAGGCTAACCATCAAAGCTCGGATGGCAAGCAGCAGCTCCAGCTCGCCGAGTGGTGTAGCCTGAAGGTAGTTCAGCATCAACGTCGTTGATGGATCAGTATCGGCCAAGCTTGTCAAAAGATCCTCAACGAGAGCTTTGTTGTCTAGAGCTTCTACGTCAAGCTCGTCTCGGAAAGCAGCCTTCAAGTTCGAAAGAGTCAGGTGTCCAGCAACAACGAGGTAGGATGTAACATTTGTGTCAGGTAGAATGAGTTGCAGCTTTGGTCGTGACTCGGGGTTTTCAGTCATAGAGAGGGAAAAGGTGCGTCCGATGGCATACAATACCCAACGCCTGTCAACGACAGCGTATGACGATCCTCCCGTAAGCCACTCCCACTCGGGAAGTTCTTGAGAGTCCTTGTCTTCCTTGCCGTCTGCGACAGATCGAAGACCGACATGGAAGCGGCTTCGTAGCAATTGTTCCCATTCTCCAAGGTCACCCTTTGAGAGATGTCTATCGGCCGTCTCGAGTTCTTTGCGGAGTTTGACCATGTACCTTTCAGTCATTGAGCCAGGAACGTACTTGGAGAACTCTGCTGCAAGCTTGTCAGATTTGACCTTTTTCGCAGGGATCTCGGTGGCAGTTCCGCGACCGATAGAGTCGATCAGAAGACCCTGCTTCCGTCTTTTCCCGTGGCTCTTGGGGGGTTCGATCTGGATTGACACAAGCACGTTGTCTACGAGAGCGACCATCAATTCCTGGCTTCTCAAATAACTAATGAATTGACATGACTGAGGTTTTTCTCCCTCGGAGAATACCTCGGACAAATCAAGGGGTGCATTGGCATGAATCGAGCGGTACTGATGGTTGTAAAGGCTGATAGACTCAAGCGAACAGGATAGAACGAAAGGTCGGGACAGGCGAGCGAACGAGACTGCATTCTCTGTCTGGACCACCGACTTCAACTTTGGGACAGGTGTGGTCAAATCGTAAATGCTTAGGGAACCCTCTTGTAACTGCATCAGCAAAGCTGCTTGCACATCAACTTCGTATGTAGACTTGTCGGTGCCACGAGGCGAGGGGGTACCGATGGGGGCGATTTCGAGGGGGGACAGCTTCTGGATATCCAGAGTAGTTGAGGGAGCGCCCGAGGATACGGCAAGAACGACTGAGTGTCGGCTCTCCTGACCTTGGCTCAGAGTTCTCAACACAAGCGCCACTAACTCAGGCTCGGAACTGGGTGTCTTGGGCAGCGCGCTGAAGACTTCAGGCTTGTCCTTGAAAATTCCTTCGCGGAACTCAGCAAGTGTGCCTGATGTGATGTAATCCACCTCGAAGCTTTCGATCTGGGTTGCAATGGCGTCCTGCACGGCTGATTTCGAAAATGAAGTCCACTGGATCGCGAGAGTCTCGGAGGAGAGCGAAACAAACTCCCCAGTTTGGCTTACGGCAATCACGTCGCCGACATTTGCAGATTCCGATACACTAGAAGCGCAAGCGAGGTATTGAATAGGCGAGGTCTTAAGAACGGGAGAGGCAATCGTGGTAGAGGTAGTCTTGCCATCTTGGCTAACGACGTCCTTGAAGAGTGTGATCTTCTGGCCAGTAGAGTCGCGGGTAGAAATATATGTGTACCGTGAAACATCGTTGGTGCCCGATCGTCGGATTCTAACAGAGTAAGGAGCGCAGGTAAATGATTCTTGAGGTGGAATAGGATACGAAGTGATCAGGCTGGATGTTGGAACCTATACAATGTTAGTGATATTGTATACCGACTATCAGTATGAACTTACATCGTAAATGCTGGCAGTTTCTCCGTCCACGCCAACGACCAGTTCTGTCCTCTTTTTCTTCTTCTGACTATCGCGCAAGCCATAGACCTCTCGCGCAACAATGCGACCCTCGGTATGATCCAAAGGTCGGGGAAGAGTCGCCAGCACAAAAGGCTTGTGTATTCTGTATTCGGAAGCCATGGCGACTGCGGTATTGCGATGCTGAGTTATACCGTGGGCTCCAAGAAATACAATTCAGTAAGTCGAATATTTCGACCTGCAATTTTCCTACAAAGATCGATAAGACGAAGCTTCACAAAAAAAAAAGTTGGAGCGGACCGAAACAAATTCCGATGGTGGGGCGACCTTCGACAGGGACCCACCCACCAGAAAATGATCCCTGATGTACCTACAAGATGGACCTTGAGCCAGGGCAACGGGAGGCACGTACAGTAGGTGCTTTAGCGCGTTAATCGACGCGTTCAGTGGTGACCACTTTAAACGCGAACTGCTCAGCGACCCTTGGCCAACCTCTTTAACATCCAAATATCCACGGGCAACGCCTTCGGTTCCTCTTCACCAAGACAGAGCATATTGGAATTCATTCATTTTCATCCCTTTAGATCCCTGCCACCTCTTCGTTCTATTCTTTTCGTGTTTTTAGAATTGCATTTGTGAAATGGTGGTTTGACTTTAAACTTAAGGTACATAAGCCCTTATACTTCCTATAACCGTTACCATTTTATCCTTACACGCATACTCCAGCAATCTTTTGCGCATCTATGGGATCCATCTTAGTCGAAAGGATGGCCCAAGAAGCCACTAGGGAACCAGAGGTTAAGAAAGTTCACCCCTTCTTTACCAAAGGCCCTGCCTCCGAAATAGTCGTTCCCTCCATTTCATCTGCGAAGACTGCAAGCAACGAACCTCCTCACAATGACGTTGAAACCGGAACGGAAGTACAGAACGGCAAGAAACGACGAAAGACCGAGACAACTCTGCCACAGGATGTATCTGGGCCCAAGAAACAACGGCGAGCGCGCCAGAGCGAAGGGCTCGCAACTTCAGGCAACGCGACAATCGAGCAGAGCCTTGGAATTAAGCCTGTTGGGACTACTATTACCGATACTACAACACCCTCAATTAATGGCGTCCCCGCCAAACCCCAAGATAATTCAACCTCGACTATCGCTCATCCTCCGAGCCTCTCGAATACCGATACCAATGTGAACACAGGAAAGATGCTCAAATTGAACCTTAGAACTGGTACACTAAGGTCCCCACCAAGAACTAGACCAAATTATGCTCCCTCGCGCATTGTGTGCATGAAATACGGACACGATGATGCCAGTCGAAAGGAGCTGGGCGATAAGATCTCTGAGATCATGGATGGAAAGATCATAATTCCTCCAACCCCGCCTAAGAAACGAGGAAGGAAAACGAAGGAGAGTTCTACAACGCAGAATGCTTCAAGTTCCAAAGCTACGCATCCGCTTTTTACAGGAAAAACAAAGCAGGTCGTGAAGGTTGAAGAGAGTGCTGTCGACAAACGCTCTCCTTCTCTGTCGCGCCACACTGTCTTCATGTCCACTCCGATGTCTCCAAAAAAGGCCAGGAATCCGTTCGCAGTGAACAAACAGGCGCCACGGTTTGGAGTCAGGACAGGTGCAACGAAAGTCCCTGGTGCTATGCAGCCTCTATGGCCTGCCAAGGGGATGGCCCACGTCCGTGGATTTGACGTTCAACTTGATCTAACAACACCTTTATCTGAGGCGCGCACAAATAAAAAATCCAAAGGTTCTGCTATAACGATAACTCCTGAAGAATCTGTGCTGGAACGGTTCTGCGCCACTGTGGATTTTGCTGCTATTCAGGATTCTCTTCCCAAGAACGACGACCATTTTGAACCAGCCCCTGAGGAGTTGCGTAAACCTTCCCCACACTTTGAAAGTGGCCGAAAGCTCCAGAAACGCATTCGTTCAGAATTACGAACACTAAAATCAACTGCCAGTCAAGACGATGACCAGCTTGTTGACAATACCACCGATCATTCAAACACTACACATCCCGCAATCAATCGCCTATATCAGTCACTTGAGACAAATCTCTCAGCTTATGACAAATCGACATGCGAACCACTAGCCTGGACGCACAAATACGCTCCTGCCACAGCACCAGAGATCTTGCAGAGCGGAAAGGAAGCTCTTCTACTCAGAGATTGGCTGCAGGCACTCAAAGTTGACTCAGTGATTTCGACTGGACAGGGTAACCCCACAACGAAGAAGAAGGCGAAGCCAAAAGCAGCACCAAAAAAGAAGAGAAAGCAGGATGAGCTAAGTGACTTCATTGTCAGTAGCGAAGAGGAAGCAAACGAAATGGAAGAGATTTCTGAAAATGAGGCTGATTGGGCACCTGCTGGCCCTGGATTGCTGAAAAAAACAGTCGTTCGAAATGGCGACGTAACAAAGAGTACCAAGGACCAAGAACGACTGATGAATGCCGTGGTCATCAGTGGTCCTCATGGCAGTGGAAAGACAGCGACTGTCGTCGCCATAGCCAAAGAACTAGGATTTGAAATCTTTGAAATTCACCCGGGAAGTAGACGAAGCGGCAAAGATATTCTCGAGAAGGTTGGCGATATGACGCGCAATCATCTCGTTCAGCAACATCAGACGCAGAGCGCTTCTGGAGCCACAGAAGAGGATGAGGTGGCTCGCGACTTGAAGGCTGGAAAACAGGGCATGATGACAAGCTTTTTCCAGAAGAAGACAACTCCCCGGTCGCCACCCAAGAAGCCCATGGACGAAAAGCCGACCGAGGCGACGAAAGCCAGCTCAACCAAGAGTCAGAAACAGTCACTGATTCTATTGGAAGAGGTGGATATTCTATACGACGAAGACAAGCAATTTTGGGCAACACTAATAGGAATGATGGCACAATCAAAACGGCCGTTCATCATGACTTGCAACGACGAAAAGATGGTGCCGCTCCAGACCCTCAATCTTCATGGCATCTTCCGTTTCTCGCCTCCGCCTATTGATCTTGCCGTCGACCTTTGCCTTCTCATAGCAGCTAATGAAGGCCACATACTACAACGCACAGCTGTGGAAGCATTGTACAAGTCTCGCAGAAACGATCTCAGGGCTGCGCTAACGGAGCTCAACTACTGGTGTCAGATTGGGGTTGGGGATCGTAAGGGAGGATCCGATTGGTTCTACCTGCGGTGGCCCAAAGGGTCTGACCTGGATGAGAACGGAGATGTGGTACGAGTGTTGAGCGAAGGAACATATTGCGAGGGTTTGGGCTGGTTCGGCCGTGATCTGATAGCCACCTGCCCTGATCCAATGAAGTCTGAGGAAGAAGTCATGAAGCAGTCGTGGTACTCTTGGATGCTAGACATGGGCGACTGGGGCAACACGTTAAATCTGCAGTCATGGGCAGATGGTATGTCGCATAACGCCTTGGAGCAAAACAAGAGGCTCGAGGTCCTGGAGGTCACGGATAAGTTCTACTCTTCTATGGGCGATGCAGATTTGTTATCAAGCGGCACATTAGGCATCGATCTCCAGGAAATCATAGATTCAGGGCTGCCTGAAATGCCAGCCAAGATGCGAGACGATTTCATCCTTGGCCGCCGACTTCTCGAGGCGGACCCCAAAATCTTGCATTCCTCGCTAAGTGTCGACCTGTCCCTAGCTCTCAAATCACTGGCAAGGCAAACACTTCTCAACACTTCACTCAGAACCGACACGGCAACTGGTCCTCTTCTCAAACCGTTAACGGAGAAGCGTGGCATACAATCTCTTGAACACTCGTTTGAGCCTCAGACCCCACCTCTAAACCGCATGAGCCTTGCTTATGCATTCGATCCCATTGCTGTAAACGAAAAGACAGTATACACTAGTTATCTTGACCCGTCTGTGTTTGACCGGACCACAAACCTCATCGTTTTGGACGTGGCGCCATGGGTCCGCGGGATCGTGGAGTTTGACAGCACTCTGGTGCAAGAGCGACTCAAGTTGAGTAATCTCCTAAGCGAAGGCGGCACGCGGAAGAGAATGCGCACTACACGCAGTGCCTACTCAGCTATGGAAGGGGGCGAAAGGAGAACGGTTCGCCGCGAGAGGTACTTTGCAGATACCCTCAACACAGTCTTTGTAAGACGTACCGCTGGTGAGGGCTGGAGGGAGGCTGTAGAGAGCGTAACACCAAAGGAGATGACAGGGGATTCACCCAGCACTACCCCATCGTCGCCAGTAGTAAGCGAGGTATAAAGGATTATGCAGTATATACGGAATGCGTATTTGCCTTGAAGATTCACATGATGGACATGCACATAGGACAGTAATTGCGGATTTCAACCGGAGTTCGGACACAGTGGATAGCATAGAACCAACGAGTAAACACTCATAACAAAACATATATATTAAAGAACAGCTTGTGTGTTTGTCTGTGTATGTGCTTCTAGTCGCGCGGGTGTCTCTGAAGCAGCAGGTAAAATATAGCAAGTTGCCAATCCGCCCAAATATCAATGCAATTCGTCATCATAAAAACAAGATAAATCAGTCCATCTCCCATTCGACATCTACATAAATCATATCAGTACCAACACCTAGTATCGTCTCATCACCACTGGTGTATATCACCACTCGGGAGGATAAGGAGCAGGTTGAGCAACAGTTCTTCTGCGCTCAGCAGGATAGAAAGGCTGCTCATGAACATAATAATCATCAGGAGCATATGGCAGCCGTTCAGCATGATGCCGCACCCTCACATGCTCTTGCGGCATTCTCTCACAGTTCTGAAGCCGTCTACGGCTGATCTCTTCGTGATGAACAACGTCGCCGTGTCGTTTAGTGGTGCGCTCGTACACACGCTCAGCGTTTCCAGGAGAGCGATGTCGATGCTGTTTCCGGCTATGCTTGGGGGGAGGATGCTCCCAATCTTCATGATCACCATGAAGAACGCCCTTTGGCCAGACCTTGTGGGCTATGACGGTCGCAACGCCGATCCCCGCCAACAGACCAGCCGTGGTTTTGAAAAGACCATTGTAGTCATGATCGTCGCTGCGCTTCTTGCGACGAGAAGGTGAGCGCGAACTTGATCGTGAAGAAGACCTTCCTCGAGATCTCGAGCGTGAAATTGGTCGTGAAGAAGAGGGTTTGTTACTACTTCGGAATGATTGAGGTCGTCCACGAGAAGGTGAGGGTGTTCGGGTTCTGGATGATGGCGTGGGGATTGGTGAAGGGCTTGGCGATGGTCTCTGATTAACAGAGCTGCGTCGCTCGAACGAGCCAGAGCGCTGCATCTTGGAAGCCAAGACTCACTTTACTAGGATTGGACACTAGTGTATCGAATAGAAATGCAGTTGTGACTTTCTTGTCTCACGGTTCGTGCAGGTTCAGTTATATGGGATATAAGTCGTGGGCTCGTGGCCCAATTCTTCCGTTTTTTATTAATGCCCGATTAGGTTTCGTCTTCAGGTCTTGGGCAATCTGAGGGCAGGAAGAAAAATATTTGTTTGAACAAGGACCAGCACTGTAAAGGAAAAATGAGGGTCAGTCAGCTTTTACTTAACTAGAGTGGTTCCTCTTCGTAACGAGCATCTCGAGTGACTAACCAGAAGTAAGGGGGTGTCCAATAGCAGTTAAACAAGAAACTAATTCATTGGTCTTTCTTCTTCCACAAAGGCCTGGTTCACTCTCAGTGCAGTGCTCTGACAGGGATCTCCTTGTTGAAAGAGACGTGGTTAGGCTATGACGTAGAAGTAAGCGGGAACACGGCGGAGATATCACGATGATGAAGATTTGGTGTTGAGAGTCAAATTCAAACTCACTAAGAATGGTGTTAGAAGGGAGTATTGGTAGGAGTAAATATACTGGGAAAGGTGAGCGGTTTCTGGACGTATTGGTAGGTAGTAGGTCAGTGGCTTGGACAACTCACGTCGATCTCAGAGAGTTGCTAACTTGGGAACAACTAACTCATGCGGGGATAATACGGGGAGCCGAATCAAGTCCCATCAAAACAGAATACGTATGTAGGCTCTGCGCCGGCCCTTTCGGATCCCATCTCCTCCTAATCCAACAGGGAGAGAAAGACTCATCATACGGCTAAATCGAAACAAGAGGCCTGTTCCCCATCTCTGTATAGCCTCAAAATCAATGCAAAGAAAAAGAAAACCCTTGTAAAAACCTAGACACAAAACCCTTGCCATGTATCAAAGTTCGCAGACGTCACACGCCAAGTTCCCACTCAATTGGAGTGCCATGCCGAAGACCCGAGAGGAACGTGAAACTGTATGGATATATGCTCATATGTGACATTCGTCCAATCTTATGATTTGCTGGCCCCAAGATGATGCGATTGGGGGGTAGGGACACAAGTACAGGGACGGGGATGATGGGCACAGTAGCTGGCAGGGCGGTAATATGCAGATTGATGAGTTTGCAGTAAGTAATAAATACAATACTTCACTCTTACTTGAAGCAATTGTCTTGGAGAGTGCATATCAAGTAGATTAGTTGTCGATGTGAGGCTGTTATAAGGCGGACATGTAACACGCGCTACGGGTTCCTACAGATCATCAAACCATGAATTGCCTAGCTTCCATCTCTGATATATCGCAAGAAATAAATTGTCTAGCTTGCCGGTTCAGATTGCCCTGCGTCCTGATTCACTTGAGTTCACTTAGCTGCAGCAATGGCGTTGAACCTTGTAGCACTGATAGATGTCTATACATTTACTCTTCAGTTACACTCGTTCAGAACTCATGTGCATCCAGGTCTATGCGTTTTTGCTGCATAGGTAATGGTACACAACGGTTGGTATGGTAGTTGTATCGGCAACTCATTAGAGAGATATCTTAATGCTCATCCTTCGAGATACATATGTTCAATGACTAGGTATCAGACTTTAAATAATCAGGCAAGATTATCTGGGTACGTGTAGGTATTGGGGGAATATATGCCTCCTCAGATGTGTCGAGTATGGAAAGCTAGGAAGAGGATGATTGACTCTGTCTGTTGCTATTCTCCATCGTCTACACCATGTCGTATTCCCACTCGAGTTGCGAACATCTTTCTTGGTATATCTCAAGTGCCTTCTCCATATCAACCATCCAAGGAGCTCCCTTTGCCCTGATTTTGTTACTACCTAGTGGTCAGCATCGCTCAGTCATATATCCATTGACAGTCAGAAATGTTAGTAGAATAAGCCCTTGTAGTTTCTCTGACCTTACTGCCCTAGAAGATATCTCGCCGTAGTTAGGCTTGAGCGGCTCAGCTTAATACGTATTAAAATTGCTCGTATAGTCTTGGTACCATCATGTCGAAGTCGTTCGTGTTTTCTTTCGCATACCCTTGCAGGTAGAGTACCAAACGATGGAGTTCCAGTTCGCCATTGACCTTAACTATCTCCTGAAGGGTGTATTGGTGCTCTGTACTCTACGGGCTGTCGACAATAGGCACCTCCTACTTTCTGCCACCTCGAGGTTGGGGTGATTGGCGATATTTCTTTCTATCGGCATGCTTCTGCAACCAAGTTTTGAGACACTGGTTGTTATCGAAGTTATACGAGTGGGTCGAGGGCATGACAGGAGCCATCTGGGTCTATCGGCCAGACGAGGATGGCATCTGATCTGGACTGAAAAGCATTGATCAGAAGTACCATGGCCATGAATATCCAAATGCCGCTCCGTCTTAACGCCGACGTTTGCAAGTTGGCGTCTGTTCAAGTCAAAAGCTGTCAAAGCTTCAACACAGCCATCTCTCCGCAAGCCACTTGGCTAAGCCAACAAACCGGTCAGAGCCAGGAAAGGCCGAGACAGATGCACAAGGTAACGGTTGGTTGGCATGGTTGCCAAAAGCAAAAAGGGTCAAGTTGAAGATGTCCGGCTTGGTGTTGTGAGTTCTTAGACATGGTCATGCACTCATCCGGCACGAGACCGATTAGGAGCCCTGTGCAACAAGCGGCAATCTTTCCAATGATAGGGTTCAAGTGGTGATGAGATTGAGATGGTCATCTTGAAATAAGCACGTTCCGATATAGCGAGTCGTGCGTTGCATGCACCTGTTGTTTTAGAAACGCGCACACGAGACAACAAAGGCAATCCTGCTTCCGTAACAGACTTGGCTTAGCCTGAGCCTAAGCCTGATCTCAGCTCAGCTTGGTATGAGACATGGCTACCTACTGAGTGTGGGTGCAGTACGAGCCCCACAAACAGAACAAATCAAAAGCAAAGGATATCTATAACGAGATGAATGCTGACGCCGTCCAAACATGGTTCAAATGGGGGCGTAAACCGAAAGGTGATCAGATCAGCGATAGAAAAGGGAGGTATGTACATATGTACTACATACAGCACATGTAGTTAGGCATTGGGCCTCGGATCATGGCGTCAGTCTCCCCGTCTGACGCCGGTTGGTCGTGCCGCGCGTTAAGTGCTTGCATGGGCCCCCTTGGTTGCAGACTCCTTTATGGTCTTGCCATTTTCATTTTCTCCCCTTCTCCTTGGTTGAGTTTGCCTTTTATTTCAAGTCCGCCTGCCAAGACACCAACTGCGTTTAACTCTAAGAGTTCACCAATCTTTATCAATTAGGTTATGAAGAGGGGCTGGAGGGATTATCATGGCTTTCATCGCCCTTGTTCAACCTTGATGATGACTACATGTGTGATTGACATGGGCTGTTGTGGTTTCGTTGATCGCCACTTATTTATTCCCTCCTTTGGAAGAGCATGGACTTGAAACTCAAAGGACAAAATCGTGCTGAGGGTAGAAGCATCATGACAAGTTTTCTCAGTCTCAAGACCATCCGATTGGTCTACTGACAACTAAGCTGCCTACCCTGTGGTAACATGCATGATATTCTACCACCAGGCTGAACCACTGCATGTTTCCATGTTGTTCCAGTGTGATAGAACCTGTTCACTTTTTTGGGGAGATGACCATGTGATATTGGAAAAGGCGATGGCCGCCGCCAAGATTGTACAGTCGAAATTCTTCTGTTGAGTCTTCCGATAAAAGTTTCAGGCAGTCTTCTTCGAATCCGTCATGTAGTGTAAACATTTAAACGACAATCTGAGATTGAGGTTTCGTCTAAAGGTTGATATGCCGTGGGTCCGGAACTCTGAACCCATATAATATTGAGAAAATGCCGTTGTGCTTTTGGTATCCAGCAATATGCAGGATGGTTACGTACAGTAGAGTTGTCCATTCATCCCAATCTTCTAAATGAGTCAAAGGACACATCAGAAGCCACTGGAGCAGATAGGGGATGAATCACCCTGGACATCTTATCTCGGTCACGCAGGACTGCACAACTTACAGCCCGTACAGGACTTTGATGGGGCTGTATGTAAGCGTGGGATTTCATCTAGGTCTGGACATCCCTGCATCACAAATTCCTCTTGAATCAGTATCACGTATGTCGAGGGGTGTGGACTTGGAATGATATGGCTACCGGCCCTGATTGAGCAAGTGGACTGCACTCAAGACCAACTATCAAGTGGATCAGACCTGTCTCTCCTCGTCCAACATAAACCTCGCATCGCGGGACATGATGATGGCTTTGATCTGGCCTCGTTATTTGGCTGAATAAGTTGGGAGAAAACTTTGTTGCGTTTGAGCCATTTGTCGATAGGCAAAGCGCCATGGCTGGTCAATGTAGTTTTTATACTTCTTTAGGAGCTATGATGGTCCTCCCTCTTCCGTGTTATGCTACCTACTTTGATACAGGCAAACCTCCAGACCGGTATTCAGTATTGATCAAAGCCTCGACTGTTAGGAGAGAATGTGCGTCTCCATCTCAAACAGCCGCAATCTGCCTCGGTAGGTTTCGATCGACCAGCCGGCGCATCATCATCATTCATCGATATTTGGCCATCACCGATGGGTCGGGGTGCAGAAAGAGAAGGGAACTAGACCAGCCAGGTCAAAAGCGTCTATCGGCGACTCTCATCTGAGGCCCAACCGTTGGTTTTGATGGCGGCCGAATTAAGCACAACATCACACCTTGGGGCCGTGAAGCTGTACCAGTAAACCTAAGGAGGAGACAACGAACCAATTAAAGCTCGACATGAGCTCGACGCTACCAGCCGGTTGGTGCACCATGAAACGACCTGTATTGTACATTGGATAAGTGACCTTCAAAGCAGACAATTAGACCAGGATACTGGGGCATTGGGAGGCAACGTAGAACGCTCAAAACTGGGCCTCGTTCGTGTACTGACGAGCCACCAAGTAAGTACTGCGGGTGCGACCTGCGGGTGTCATCATTTCATGAGTGCCCGGCAAGTAGAATTGCCGTATCT